TCTGTGTCATCTCATGTGTCTGTGTTGATTTTGGGGATGTACAGAGCGTTTATGCCAAGATATTGACAGCTTTTGGGAAAATTTTAACTCACATTCATGCACCCTGGTAAATTGGGAACTGGAGGGGAGAGTCTGACTTTTTGTGAATCACTCCTGGTGATCTACAGGATTTTGTGTTTGGTTTTCAGATGCAATGGAGTAAAGCCTTCATTTGGCAACCAAGTAGCAGCTGGGAATAGATTTGCACCTCCTAATCTGAGGCCACGCTTCTTGGCAGGAGGAGGGTGGACGACTTGTTTGCTTAAGTATCTCAAGGTCTTATTTACAGGTCAGGGAAATAAAGAATCGTGAGGCTGGCAGGCAGAAGGGGATCAGGCTCTGAACCCAGCTGGACCTCAAAACTGTGTTAATATAACAATCCAGTGACCATTAAAATTGTAGTTTGCACCTGACTTTTGACCCAAAGAAGTGATCGACTCTGTTTCTTACTGAAAAGGAGCCAGTTCGGGGAATAATTAAAACCTGTCTTTGAGGCCTTTTTTGGGCGAGGTTTAGGCTCTTGAACAGACCCTTGTTTATCTGTCAGTAAAGAGTATAGAGGGACCTTAAAATGTTTTGTTTTCAGTAACATTTAGCTTCTGTTCTTATGTTTATTGCAGATGTGATGCGTAATCAAAATCCCAACGTTTTGTAATGGTCAGCTGTTTGACTCGGACCTTCCTGTGGTGTTTCCCTAAACAATAAACCATTGTGACAGCTTTCTGTTTTCCCCTTTGCTGGTAATTCTTCCTCTTTATAAGAAGTCTTATGATTTTGGGTTTAAATGTCTTTGAATCAGCGCTGGTCCACTGACTCCACAAACCCATCTCCCTCCTTCAAGTTCATTTTCCTCTCCATTTTTCTTTGTCTTCCTTGGAAGTGCATTTAGGACATTCTGTATTATAAGTGAGACAAATCGATGAACCCTGAAAGGACCACAATCAAATGATTAAGATGAGGTGTAAATCCAATAAAACACACTACCTTTCCATGCAACTTTATTGGAAAAATCTGACCCTGATTATGGCTTTCATTGTGCTCAGCGTCGCTTGTGCCTTACACACACATTGTAAAATGTGCAGGTGTTTGATGTCAAGAGAACATCCTGGTTAATTGTTATATTGGGTTTTAGCGCAACACATAGAATTAAGGACTTAATGTCCACAAGATCGTGGCGCTCAGTATTACAGAACCTTATTGAACACGACTTATTGTAACACAATCAAAAAGTGATGGGTTTAAATGTCGCCTCAGTATTGTCTGTTTGGCTGTAGTGTTTGTAGTGTAGTACTATAGTTTAGTGTAGTCAGAATAATTTAGCTGAGCAAATAAAAAAGGTCTACGAACAAAATCTTAGTAAAGTACCTGATGGTTAAATGTTGCACACATAGATATCGTAGCTCCTAGTTCAGAGCACAAAGTCAAGTCAACAATATACGCATTTTTATTTCCATAAGCTTTCAGGCGCTCTGGTTAGAAAGGATGTAGAGGAGATAGGACGTGGATACTTATACCGTCTGTAACACTTTGATACAACAGCAAGAAAGGCTCAATTTAAAGAAAGCATCCCAGAGATAAGCAACAGATTTAATTTGGCAAAAACTGCAGAGAATGATCCTTTTAGGTTTCCATCTCAGAGATGTGAGTTGTCGCTGTAGAGGAGCGATGCTCAAAGCCAAACTTTTAAGGATGAAGACCTCTTTGAAAGCTGGCTGTTTTGTATTGGTTAGGCTTTTCAGGCTGAGTGACACTCATGGAAGCTGATAAAAATAGATTATACTTTTTTTTTATGACCCTGTATGACAGTTTACAGCCACTAATATTTACTGAGGAGAGACAGCAGGGTTTTATTCTTTAACTCCAGCTAAACGGCCTGCTCTCTGTTAAGGAGTCAACCTGTCAAAGGAGCTGAGAAGGAAACAGAAAATGTGCCTGTTGACTCCCTTCTTCTGCATCGCTCCATCTTTAAACTTTGATCCTGAAACCCAAAAATAAAAGGCAGTCTTGAGAACCTTTGGAGCTGTCTTTCCAAAAATAAACTTAAATGATATAAATTGAGACTGAGGCCAAAAAATAACTTGTGAGATTTTCACTAAACAGTTTATCTCCAACTTATCGAATCTTCACCACACCTGAATTACTCTATATTGATTTTCATCATGTCTTGGCTGGTATGTTGTTTTAGCCTGAAGACATTTTAGCACCTTATAATTCTGCTTCTCAAACCTCTGCTTCTTGTTTTGGCCTGTGAGTCATTTCTCAATTGGTGTCTTCCTGTTTATGCACCAGCAGGCGAATAGTGTTTGATGGTGAGGCGGAAGGAGTCGACGGTTTTCTTTCTTGCAGACAAAGACATGCACTCAGATTCAAACTTCAGCTGTGAGCTATTCTAGCTGCAGTCTGCACTACATCCCTCACACACACACAAACAGCCTCCCGTCTGCTCTGTATCCCATGTAAACACATACGGATGCACGTTTCTGTTTTGTGAGTCTTTGATTTTCAGCTCATTTCAGAGGCCCTGAACAGGTCAGCTACAGTGTTGGGCAGACGTTCACCAGGGTGACCAGTAAGTTTAAAGCAGTGCCGTAGTTATTGTTTTTACAGTGAAAAGATGGACGGAGCTTCGAATTAGGAATTCATAGGAATTTATTGTTGTGCCTGGTGTGGTTTTACATGAGAAGAATGTTTTATGTGTGTGTTCCAACACAATTGAGTGTTAATAGACCTCTATTTTGGGCACTAATCACAAAGAAGTATGAGGACCAGTTGACAAAATGCAGAGAAGAGGAATATTTATAATTACCCTACTGTATATAGAAATATGGATGAAATACTATTGAAAAGATACATTCAAAATTTGAATAACAAAATTAATTTATGTGGTCCACAAATTCAACATTTTTAATTGATTGAGAGTTTACTCCATCTGAACCCAGTTATAATGTTCATATCACATTGAACCAAACTGTTCTTGTTGTTATGTTGTTATGATTTGATATACAAATTCTGAATGTAATCTTTTTTTTTTCAGTTTAATAGTTTTTTAAGTTGAGTGTGTTTAGGATTAAACTCTAAATAATAGCAGAGAAGTAATACATTTCTTAAATAAAAAGGACCATCTTCTTTTACATTTGATGAAAATAAATTAGATAAAAAACAAGATATAAATATGATGATTATTATTGTTTCTTCTGCTTTTTTCTAGCTATGGTGTCGGTGTTCAGGCAGGAAGTCTAAATTTATAGTAAAACTATGACACTTGAAGTTGAAACTGGGGGATGAATCACCAGTGCAAGGAAATAGCCTATTAAAAAAATGGTTAGGCTCTTCCTGTCCTGCAGCCAACGTGCTCTATCATCTTAATCTGATGGCTGCGTAAAAGCACACACACATACACACACGCCTATTTTTTAAAAGATTGATTCTTGGCATGTGGAGCAAATATAAAGTCTTTTGAAAATTATTAAATACATGTCTTCTGAGATCCTCCAAAGCCCCTCATTTATTCATAATCTGATCCCAGACAAGACTGAGAGATTCCTTTTCAAATTTGGGCTAAATCTAATTCTTAATCTCACTCAGACATCGTCTTTCTCCTTCTTCAAAGTATTCAAGCCTTCTTTTTCTGTCCTCAAACACAAAACCCCTTGACAAAACACATAAGAAACATTAAGCATTTTTTTTTTCTTTGCAAAGAATTGGTCGTGTCCTATTTAGACCTATTTTTGACGTTTGTGTAATGCGTCTATCTGGGGGCATAACTGTGCATACAATACAGCCACTGTGCAGGTTCAGAAACGGCTCCGGTGTGCACTCACTGTGGAGATGGCAAACAAACGGAGGAAGACGTGGTCCTGTGCTTAGATATGTGTGTCCACGCATGTAAGCATGGATTATCTCTTTTGTGCTGGTCAGCAGTGTTGTAGAGCAGGTTTGCATATGAAGTTTGGGCTTGATTTTATAACAATATTCAGACACTGTTTTAGGAGTTTAGTGAAAATTGGATTGATATGAAAATGCTGAAAAAATATAGAAGAAACACTAAACGTTTTTCCATGATGAATTAAAGGTAGATTTTAGGAACATCCACGCATTAATTTAATTGTCTCAGATAGATTTGACTAAAGATATAGGTAAGTCAATAAATTCTGAGTCTATTTTCCATAATAAGAACAATTTAATATTGATAAAACTCAACACCGGTTCAACCATTGTGTTAAGTGCCTTTTAGACTAAATGACCGGTAGCCCAGTACTTTAAGCAGTCCTGAAATTTCATTGGAAATCTATCTGTTGCAGCGACTTTTCAATAGCTTGCAGAACAAGATGAATCTGTTTGGCTGCAAGGTACAAAGGAAGAAATGAGGCAGCTGTTGTTCTCATTTGGTTTAACTGAGAACGGGCATCAGGCTGAATGACCCGATGGCTTTTTCCCAGCAGGGCAGCTTATTCTGAGATGAACTCATGACAGTCTGTTCACATTTTCACCGGTGTGTGGCACGCTGGGTCCCCCTGCTGCCCTCATCATTGTGTGTGAGCTTGTTGAACGTGAATCGAAAGGGAAGCAGAAGAATGTTAGAAGTTATGCTTACTATGAATTAGTCAAATTAGAAACAGTCAACCAGAGGTGTCTTAGAGAACAAGAATAGAAATATTTATTTTGCCTGTCTAACTGATAGATTTACCTGTCTGTACCTGTCTTTGTACAAAAGAAACAACAATAAAAGATCTGTTTACTTTAGTCCTATTTATTATCACCTTTAGTCTCTGTCAGTCAGTACAAAAGGCTGCAGCCAGAGTTGCTTTGGCTCTCTTGTCTCTGTCTGTCTGTGCATGGAAACAGTGTGAAATGTGAACTGGGGGGTTGACCATCTGAAACTCCGCCTCCCTGGCTGGCACACACAGGGAGGGTGTGTGTGTGTGAGTGAGTGTGTGTGTCTGGGGGGGGTTGTGCTGCGCTGTGACAGCTCAGTAAGCAGCTGAAGTCTTGGGCTGCGGCGGAATGGACGGTTTGGACGTCCACCGGGATGTTCTCTGACAGTGTGTGGCCGCATGGGAGTCTGTTTAAGATAGATGTATGTATGTATGAGTTTGTGTGTGTGTGCGCACATGAGTGAGGGGGGCATACATGCAGAGGCAGCACAATGGCCCTGAACCGAGTGTCTCAGCTCTGCCACGATATCACCCGGCTGTGGCTGCACCTGAAGATGATCACAGGTAGAGTGCTTCTTTTTGTCAGCTCAGTGGGAGAGGAGCCGGTTTGTTCATGTGTCTTCTGTCTTCACTATCTGTGTGATTACATTTTGGGACAATCAATAAGATCAGATCTGAATTGCTTAAAAGAAGAGTCAAAGTGTGTTCTTCCTATCAACTGTTTACGTCTATCTGTTTACATCACTCCTATATCTGCTTTTTAGTCAATGTACTGAAGTTCAAAAGAGAGACAAACTCAGCTGATGTGAAAGAATTTAGAGTTTTAGACAAAGACCCTTTTAGAAGAGGAGCTGCAGTCTAAACTCTGTATGTAGTCTTAAGAATAAAGTCTTCATTTAACAAAAGCCCCGTAATTGTCAATAGCTTTCAGGAAAACTGAAAACTTTCTTATAAAGTTGTTTTTCTTTGTCACTTCTAAAAATGAAAACCATAGATAAAAAACATTTAAGGGGTTAAACCTTCAAATTTAGTTGGAAATTGTGTTTGTCTTCATGTGTTTTTTTGTAATCAATTCAATAAATTCAACTTTTAAAAGGAAACAGCAAGGACAGGTTGCATTAAACTTCCAAATAACTAACTGGGGGTAGAAATATGTCCAGATGTAAAAGAGTCTGTGTAAAAATGCACAAAGTTTTCTCTTTGTAACTTCTTAAAAATCAAAGCCCCAAGTTTGAAGTTGTTTTATGGCTCATTGTGTAAACTATGGTTGCATTAAAGGTAAAATGGACCAAAGCAGGGTATCTCTCAGGGTGGGGCGTGGTCATACGCTGCTCATCCAGTGGGGAACTTCAGCTGGGATTTCTGTATGTGACAAGTTGCTTTGGAAAGATTGTCAGCATTTCATGAAACGCTTCAGTGGTGTAAAAATGGATTTGCCATCTCTAGAAATCCTGTGAAAGAAGGTCAGATAAGGAAACGATGCATTTGCCACTTTGAACGTTGTAAGGGTAATAGATTAAGTGATTCCCCTGTATACAATCATAGCTGTTTAACTCTACCTTGTTAAAAGTAGTTTGCAAACGAGGCTTTATAAATGAACTAAATGGATCTAAGTGGCCTGACTTTGTTATCCACATTGATTTCGTCTCAGTGCACAGAAATGCTCTTCCTGCTGAAGGCATTACCGTCCATCACGCAGTTGCATAATCGGATCTGAAGTGGACAGTGTGTTTGGTCTCCAGGTCCTGATGTTGGCTGGGCTGAGCTGAGGGGTGTGCCGATGTCACGCCAGCCCACTCGTACAGTGCTGAGGAGAACGTTGATGGCATGTTAATAACGTCCTATTAAGGCAGAGGGTTTCCTCATGTCAGTTGGGAGCAACATTGGGACAAAACCCTTTTGAGTGTTTGAATGTCAACATCTCCTCCCCCTTCTTTGCTCGGCGTTGTGTGTGTATGTGTGCGCTTTAGTTGACTCGGTCTAATTTATGCTGCCTTTTTGTGTCCTCTGGTGAGAAATGATAGCAAACACATGAGCTGCAGTGTTTTTGATGATCCATGTAGACATTGTCATGCTTTTTCCTGTCCTCTATGGCCGTTTACAGGTGCGCGTACAGTGTGTTGTGTTTGGATTTGTGTTGCACAGAGGGAGTGTGTTTGCACTGCTGGCAGATGGGCTGAGGTTGGTTATCTTATGTGCCCATAAACCCTGCCCGTGCACACAAACACAATAACAGGCTGCACAGCGTATACCCTCTGTTTTTGTGCTCCTACATCACATTACCAGTAGTTTCGATTAGGCAGTGTGGGAACTGGACCCCTGTGAACCGGGCAGTGCATTAGTATCTCACAAGAACAAGGAAACTCTAATCTGAAGTTGAAAGTCCCTGTTTGCATTGGATTTAGCAGTATATGTAGTGATGTCAAGCACCTTTTAGCAGGAGAGAAAAATCGGTGAGCATAAATGACCATGAATCCCTACTGATTCCTGAAGGAGGAACGTTGTTACACGGAACCAAAGCAAGACAAGGACTGAAAGGTGACATTACTCCGAGCACGGCTAATGCCAACTTTTGTCACTATTTTAAACCACAGACACTTTGTGTTGGAGCAGAATATCCTCAGAGTCTAATATCAGGATGGCTGATGAAATTGGAGCGAAGCTGGTACCCAAAGTAATTTCCAGGAGATTGGATTAAAAGAGGGAGCCACTACTCAGAAGTGATATTTGTTAGATCCCTCCCTGAGTGGAGGGAGCACACAGTTACCCAAACTATGATTATGCTCAAGTGGCCTCTTAAAATGAACACACATTTTTTATCTGTGTCTGCTGTTTGGTGTCAAAAGGATTACAAAAAAGATTTAGGACCAGTAAGGTGTTTTTCAGTGACCCAGCTTTGCAAAGACGTATAGCTTTCTTTTTGAGGACAGTCGACCTTTAGATCACAATAAGTTTGGTTCAAATTTCTGGGCCAGCTGCTTAGATTCCCAAAGGCTTTCTATGTAAATTAGCTGTTAGTAACTTTTATAACTAACTGTAACTTTAACTGTAACTTTAGATTCTTTGGCTTTTTAGAAACATGTTGCATTATTGCACCCACAGCTATAAAGACTTTGCTTTGTCGAAAAAACGGATTGATGATATCATTTTGCTTAGGATGTAATCAGTCTTCTCTCCCCGGTAACATCAGTGACCTTTAGTCCTGTTAAAAGGCATGAATTCCAGTGGGAGATGTCATTGTGGAGAAAACTTGTGTGGTTTTTCCTGCAGCTATGTCTTTCTTCTAGGGCAAGTGAAAACACAGCCCTGTAGGATTATTTGCTTTTTGGCTACCTCCCTCTCAGTCTCTTTGCATGTCATTTCCATTTTTTTTCCCTACCCACTCGGCCCCTCTTAGGTTTTTATGCTCTTTGTACCATGTAGTGTAATGACTGGTAGCTGGGGCCAGAGGCAGATTAAAAAAAGCTGCTGCTTTTGCTCCCAGTTGAGCTGTTACTGTATGTCTCTGCCTCTAATGGTAGAGAAAGAGGAAGGGAGGAGGACCTGGATTTAAACCCACAGGATTGTTAGAGTGTGCTTTGTAGTCCAGTGACTTCCACCACTGATGTTCCTCTAGTTCCCAGTGGATTTGGAATTTCCTTGAGCCAGAAATTCCCATGAGAGATCACAGGTCTGCAGTGAGCTTTTGCCTTTGGGGCAGGTAGCGGCTCGGAACAATATTTAGACTGTTATCACATTTTGTGGCGTCTGGGTGAACAAGGTTCACATGAGGCACCAGCTCCTCTGATGTTAGCCATTTTGCCCCACACTGAATCTGTTTTTGTTTTTGCCTGTTTTTGTGGCGGAAATATAAAAATGTATAATCTGACAGGTGTTTTTTTATTTATTGATATTGTCCTTGCGAACCAAAACTTTAAAAAAAGAATAACAACTTATCACTTTAAAGTCAAAATCATGGCGGCTTTGACACCTACAGGTCAAAGTGGTGATCCATCAATCAAAAGCATTATCAGTGATAAATCCAATCAAATTTTCCAGTTCATTGCAAGGATGTTTTCCAGCTCATCCCCAGACAACATGAAACACCCCGAAAGAAAAACTAATAATAAAATACAGTCTTTCTGCATGAATGAAATGATTTTCACTTCATGTGTATTTAATGATTTGTGAATAAGCCAGGCAAACAACTTAGTCAGCACTGCCGAAGGCAAAGTCGAAAAACAGTTTATTTAATCATTTGTACAGCCAGAAAAATCAATTCTCCGCCAATTAGTGGAGTTCCCGTTATCTGGGAGGATAGTTTCTGCAACTGGTTTGACAAAAGACTTGGTTTGATTTGCTTAATGGGAGAAAGAGCCTGAGAGGGATTGTTACTGTGTGTGTTGTGGCGGCTGCACACACTGTAGACAGAAGGACAGTTGTGTGTTGTTTCCCTGAGATGATGATGCCACCATCTATTCAGTAAATCAGGGCTCAGTGCCAGTGATGGAGCGAAGATTGAGGCGTTTGTTTTGTCTTTCGAAGCACACAGCATCACTACTGGCTTCTTGGCTTTTCATGGACATGCACAAAGGAAGGAGCTTTGACATTTTAAAGGCTTAAAAGAGAAAAATGTTGCATAGTGATGGTGTTGGTATTTCAGTGGATGCATGATTAAAAAGTAAGTAGCATCCAGTATGAGTCTGTATCAGTCTTTGTAAATCTTCAGTGATTCCAGAAAATTAAATGCAATATTCAAATGATCAGTTTTACAGATGGAGCTCCAGAAAATAAAGAGGAACCTGAATCCATGTGAACATCGGTCAAGTATTAACGTTTGTCCAGCTGTCTCAAACCACACTAATTCAAGCTTTGGGTGTGGGGATAGATACAGATACACATAGACACACACACACATTCCAGGCCACTGCTGGCCCTGTGACCCACTTGTTTGGCACCATGTGTTCGCACACCAGCCGCCGTCCTGCATGTGTGTGTGCGTGTGTGTGTGTGGTTTAGAAGCCCCACCGCATTGACAGATGGAGCTTTGGTGAACACAGACTTTAATGCCAGATGATAGAGCCTGGATTCCTTCACACAAGTGCGAACATATGAACACACACACTCAGCTGCAGCCTGCATGCTAAGCCAAGTCATAGCTCATGCTTCTGTCGGCACATGATGCCAACAGAGGAACCTTTAACCCTCCACCACACCCTCACCAGATATACACACTCGTTTCTCCGGCCTTGTGCTGTTGAGGCCGCATTCCAAGCCGGTCCCTTCCACTTGGTGCATACCAGAGCGGCAGATGATGAACTTGAGGCCTCGGCAAAGTGTCAGACTTTCTCTTGTACTGTTTAGATCAAGAATCGAGGATACCAGCTGAAATCGAGATCAGAAGTCACAGATTTAAGTGACGTCTCGTAACTGTCGCACCAATGAAAATAGTGTCCATGTGTCACATGCACGTCACATGTTTTTGTCCCATTGTCTGCCACCGTCATCAGTAAGTTATTCACACCGTGTATCTGTAATGGATACAGTGGTGATGTTGTTCAAACCTATACCTTAATACATATGTGGTTCATACATATAGGTTAATTGTAAGTAAAAAGTGGGCTCTGGGTGGAGCGTGGTGATTAGGTCATCCCTGTGTGGGTGCTGATGTGCATGTTCCAGTGAACATCACACAGCTCTTCGGCTTCCTGCAGCTTTGAACTCTGACTAGCCTCCACAACTGGCTGCCATTACAAAGCAGAGAACAGCTGCTTGTTGTCTTTGAACCAACAATGTGTGTTTAGCAATGAAAACCTGTCGGAACATGACTTCAGCACAAAGGAGGATGACATGTGTCAGAATAACAGAGATGGACGAGCGTCCCATTTAAGTTTCAACTGAGAAGTTTCCGACCGCTTACAACAACTTGTTAACATACCTGATGTTTGTCTAGTTTTGCAAATGGAGATTTTATGAAATAACTCGATAAAGGAGTGTTGGTGAGAAGAAATGCACGCACACACATACGCACACAGGGTGGGGGTTTGCAGGAACAACAGTGCCTGTAATTAAGTATTCCACTTGAAGCTGGCTAACAAAATTATACTCTAAAGCATGTGTTAAAACAGATGTGCACATTCTTCTTTTTCAGGGCACAGTGTTTTATATAATGACATTAAAGTTTCTGCACATTCCACCTAAGTTTAGAAATCTAGACGAGATTGTCATCAGAAAACACGGAAATCGAATTTACGCAATGCAAATTGGTGCTTTGGGACTATCTCTGTCTAAAGAAACGGCTACAGGTTCTTCCCAGTCAGACCTGAGTTTGAATCCTGAATTTGAATCCTGGGGTTGGAGCTTTTTTTTGGGTCGTGTCTACTTGACAAAGAATGGATGGTTTGGATGGGAGTGACATGCATGTGACATGTTGGGTGTGCTGAGGGCAGACGGTGATGTGAAACTGGCGGATGTTGACAGTTTGAGGGATGTTCAGATGAAGTTTTCTCCCAGCTTCTGTAAGTTTGTGCAGCCTTGATTTTGTTCAAAAGTGTCAACAAAACTCTTGGAAAGAAACAATTAGAAGGTGTTTATTTCTCAGCTTTAGAATGCGTTCTTGCCCCGGGGAGAGATCAAATCCACAGTGTCAGATTCCGTCCGGCCAGGGCATTAAATATGTAGGCATGTGTAAAGAAGCCCTGTCCTCCATTTCATCTCATTGAGATGTGAGCACCTACTCTCTCTACCCCCCCTCCCCTTTCCCTCCTCCAATTCTCTCTCCTTTCACCCCTTCAAATCCAGGGTTTATTTAGTCTTTCAGGGACGAACAAGAATCCAGCTAGTGAGATGTTCCAGTTTAGCTCTTTTTTTACGATCCCTCCTATGCAGTGTTTAAATGTAAAATCGCGTGTGAGTTTGCACATATGTACCAGATTTTTCAGTTATGCTGAGACAGAACTAGACAGGACAATCTGGATGATAATGAAGAGCTGAGCTACACTTAACAGAGAAGAGTTGAATTGGACAATATTTCCTCTAATGTGAACATTGTTTGTCATGTTTTATTCCTCAGCTAAGCCTTTGAGAAAAAGGATGAATGAACTGGGGAAGGGGTGTCAAAGCCTGGGGGGAAGGGTGCCAGGAGGTGGGGTAAAATTCTTTCCAGGCCCCCCATAATCACTATTTGTGTTTGGCAGCATTGCCCCACTTCTGTGGGTGTGTTGTTTGGTGGGTAAAAGGGTTCACTTGCAGCCCTGCCGCTATAGTTTAATTTCATTCATTCCTCTGAGGACAAAGCACAGTTTTAGGGCAGCAGCAGTGAAAAGCTGCCCGACGCCTGCATGTCTGATGTATCTGCACCATTCACTCCTGTATGAGCACCATTCACTATATTCCTGCATCATGAATTTGTAGTTTAAGTTCTTTCATTCATGTGTATAGTTTAGTTTGTCTATTTTCTACTCTTTTGCGTTCTTTGTTTTGCTGACATATATTGTTTTAACTGTTGGAAATTAAAAACAAAATGTCCTCAATTTTTTATCTTCATCCATTGCAATGTTCCAGCGTTGGGAAAATAGAAATAAAGGAGTATGCGTGTTATTAAGTGCCCTTGCACAAAGTTTCCATTTTAGACTATTATCTCAAACCAAAATGCTTATCTAAAAAGGGTATCAACTATCATTGGCTTTTCTGACTTTGATTAACAGCAGCCTGAGCAGATGCTCAAGCAGTCTCCGTTTTAACTGTTTAATTCTGACATCCATCTTGATGTCAGATCATTCATAATCTGCATCGTATCTGCAACTTTATTGTAAAAGTGTCTTTCTCATCCCACTCACTCACCTGTGCACACATCCCGTGTCAAAGACTACTGTACATGTGTGCCTGTGATCCAGAGTCAGGGTCTTAGTCCCAGCTTAGCCCGACACTGAGCTGGCAGCTGCCCCGGTGAGCTCACAGCGCATTGAAACACACACTGTGACATGTGGCTCCACACCTGCTCACACACAGTCTGCCTCATTTATATCAGATGTCCACTAACGTTGGACATAAAGGGATAAAGTGAACATTAACAGCTTTCCCCTCCTGTTTGTCTTTACAGGGAAGTACAGTTGAACTTTTGTTAGGCCACTGCACTCCAAAACACGCTTCCACCTTCCTCTCCAGTCTGTTGAATGGTCTCTGAGTCTGGACTCTATTCTGGTATTTGACTATGATCCTCTCACATCTGGAGCCTTAGCCATGAATTATCTGCATTTTTTCACTGTATGCATGGCAGACAGTGCTGAATATCCCCAACAGACTCATGAGTCAATATAACTATTACATTTTGGTTTGCCTGTGTGAAGATGTTAAAAATGGGGCCAATTTATCCCAAGCATCCTGCAAACAGCTGCTCACATTCTCACACTTGCTGCTCTGCGCTGAGTGTGGATTGGACGGCAGACATATAGTGTGTAGACTGAGTCACCGTCTAGCCAGTTGTGTGCTGACACACTGCATGTAGCATTACTGAAGATGTAAGCTCTTAATCGGATGGATGTCTTTATCATATAGAGATGCTGCTGAGACGCACGGCAACGTTGGTATGTGCTTTTTTTTTAGATGAAATAAAAACATCATGTTTATTATTCTTGCTTTATTTTACCTGAAAAATAATATCCATGATGGAGAATATAAGCTGCATGATCACTTAAAAAGCTGCACTGTAGTTCGACGCCCATGCTTTGCATGTGTTGTGCAAAGTCTGACAGCATTGGGACTTCTTTTACTGCCTTTAAACACATTTCAAGTAAGGTCAGTCACAAGGAAAGCATGCCCAACAATTCTTTTTTTTTATTGTGACCAACATTGCTTTTCAGAAAATCAATTTCGAAGATGGAAAAGTTTGCTGAACAGACACACGATAGTCATCTCCACAGAGACACACAGCGGACAAAAAAAAATGTAGCAAATTTGGTAAAAAGGGAAACAAAATGGTCACAAAAGTCAAACCAGTCATAAATCAGTGAACTTTTAGAGATGCAAAATGAAAAAAAACACACAAAGGAAGGTAGATACTTAAAATGATCAGAGAAATTCAATGGACAGAAAAATATATTAATATAAATATTTGTATAAGAATAAGAATAAGAGGCATTTGCAAAAAGAGACACAGAAAGACCAGAAAAAATCCACAAAATAAGGTGAATTAGACTCAACATTATGAGAACAAGATTTGATGAGTGGAAGTTGAAATTAAGTAACTTTAAACAGTGACCCCACACAAAACAACCAGACAAAAGACTGCATGTCCACCTGTTTTAAACAGGTGGGAGGCTTCTTCTAAGTTAGACAAATTTTCGGAGCTCCTTGTGCCCCATTGATCCCGCACTCACTTCCGTTGGACTTTCAAACCTAAGAGATTCTCAGTGGGATTTAAACCGAGTCTTATGCTTGCTCCTGTGGGGTGTTTTTAGTGGACGGCTCGTCTTTTGAATGCGAACAGTTTGTTTGGTTTGCACTTACATGATAATTAATGTCTCTTTCTGGCAGCTCCATCATTGTGCCTGGAAACCTTGCCTCAGTCGCTCACACCAGCGTCAGTGCCAGCCTTTGTCTACATGCACACACCCCTCTTCATCATCCTCCATCATGCACACAGTGCTGAAACGTTCTCAGTTTTCATTCACAGATGCACACATGGTCGTACACTGTTGGCGATCCGGTGCTTGTGTTTGGCATGCATGGGTCACACATGGCAACCAAAATCAAAGAGGAGGGGGATGCGTTTTCTCTGCCCACTTGTCTGAGCTGACTAAATGAGATTACTGTAATCCTGCTAGGCCAGAGAGAAGAGGAAATCCAAATGCTGTTTACTTCATCCCTTCTCTGCCTCACTTTCACCCATATTCCCTTTCTCCTACTAGTTCTCCTACTAGTTCTTCCTTTTCCATACTTTCTTATGCCATCATATTCCCCCCCCTTTCTCTTTGTTTATACTCCAGAGGGGTAAACAATCATTAAAAGAAATGGAATTCGTGGCTCCTCAGATCATGGTGGTCACAGTTTATGCGTGGAGCAGCAGTGGGGGAACAAAAACGAGTTCTTTCTGACGAATTAAACATGAACTCAAAACACCGAAAGGGTGAGGATGGAATATTGACTCATTATCTAAATGTGGCCAGAGCGCTCCCTGCTGCCTGATTTCCTGTGTGTGGTAGTAATCATTTGTGGTCTCATCTAATATGACATTTGAAACTCCTCGTCAGTCAGCAGGATAGAGAGCTCTGGGGGGCACAGCTCAGCTCTGTGACCGGCTGGGGACGCCCAACACTGAGAGAAAGAGAAAGGTATTTTTCTGTGTTCACAGAGAAGTTTTTATTGTTGTCTCTCTATTTCCAGACGACCTTCTGCAGCCGGAGGATGGTCCTGTCTGTGCAGCTGAAATTGGATCTGAGCTTCAGAAGCAGTTTGCCATCCTTCCAGGTCGGTTTGGTTTGTTTGCATTGTCATGTCCTGCTTTCACCAGGGACAAAAAGCTTTGATTCATTGATTAAGGCAATAAATCCCATCAAAAGTTTTAAAGATCTTGAAAAAATGTGAAAAGTTACATCTTCCCCAGATAGATTTAATATGTAATTGGAAATGGAGAGAATCAGAATTTATGCAAATAAAACATGTACAGGAGCTGTAGGTCATTTTTATGTTGGTGCCTCTGTGTTTCAGAGGCTGTTTGCTTCATGTTGTTATCATAATAAATGGTAAAGATAATAGTAAAATGTGAACTAAATGTGTACTAAAATGTGATTTGACAGACTTTTTGAAAATGTTTTTATCAGAAACCTAACAAAACCATTGTTATGAAGAAAAGTGATTCTCCTCATGGCCTCATCTTCAGCTTTCAGTCAGAGCCCCCTAAACTGTTTTCTAATATTTACTCATGTTCTATAACACAAAATCTGTTTTTTTATTCATGTAGTTCGGCTGCCTAGTAATTGAAACAGTGAAGCAATAATAAATCATAATAGTATGTATGAGATATTTTCCCTCAAAGCCTGTGTCACAAATGTCTGCTTTTACGGCCCAAAATACATCATTTTAAAAAGAATGGGTAGAAAGATAAATTCACATTCTCTTTAGCAGATTTACATGATCAAGCATACTAGTGGTTTTCTTCTATAAATCTGTCAGTGTTAAGATATACCTATATACAAGATTGAATATCCATCCAATCTTCATGAGTGGCCACCAAGTTAGTGCGTTGTATTGAAGTCTGTTGTATTTTGAGGTCTTAGTTCTCTAAACACACATGAATGAAAAACAGCTGAATGGAAAAAAATGGTTGAACATGTAATCTCAGAGCAAGCAATCACTCTAAGAGATATAAAAGGGGTCACATTATGTTTGAGAGGGGTAAACATGCAGAACGGTTTGTATATGCATGCTCTCTCCTTTAGGTCTCACAAAGAATGCCAGGCCTTTTTCTTATGGCATACATGTAGGTGTTAAAGACAGCTCCAGGGTTCAGATTATGGGTAGTTTCTTCCATGAAGGGGTTCTATTTTTTTTTAATTTTGGACCACATTTAATGGTTTAATCTATAGAGGCTATTGAAAACAGTGGAGTTAATGGACTTGAAAATTATGTTTCAAAGCATCTTCATTTTGTCATGCATTTCAAGTTGATCCCCAGAGATGTTTACCTACCGACTACTCGAGGATTTCTCTTTTTTTGCACAGATAATCCCACAGAGCAAATCATGCTACCACCAAGCTTGTAAAGAATGCTTTTCAGCATCAGAGAAGAAGCAGTCTGCATTAAGTTCTCATCTTTGGACGCCTCTTCTGGTGATAGGCTGACCCAGATAGGAGACACAGACAATCATAACCAACCAACAGTGCCGAAAAGCACAAAAGGCAACATGAAACAGACAAAGGTGCGACCCTGTACTGGGTTTCCATTGCAATCATGTCTGATCAGTGAATAATTCATCACTGCATCGAGGTATTATGCAACTTGACCCAGCAGAAAAAGAGAAGGCCAAGTTTGCATGTGTTTGGGTCCATTTGGTTTAATACTTGAGATACTGGGTCAGTATATCCAGCCAAGAAGTCTTGTTTTGTCATTAGGTTGTGTGATCCCTGGTTTGTTTCGGCAGGAGGCAGAAGAGCCTCGTACACCTGCATCTACTGCCTTATATGTCTGTCATTTTCCTGGTGACGCTTGTTAGAATCAGGATTCAGAGACGGTTGAGCAGTCAACATTGATTAGTCCCGCTGTCAGAGGCTCAGCACAAAACCAGCAGCACCAGGTGGACACCGACCCTGATTGTCCCTCTGACCTCTCTGCAAACTGTCTCCTGACCTCTGTCTCTCCAGGGGGCCGCGGGATGAATGGCAGCCCCATCATCATCTTCCCAGAGTTCCCGGCTTTTAACGAGCTCGAGGATGGAGAAATCCAAAACGTGCTTGGCTACCTCACAAGTGTGCCTAGGTTGGTTTCACACACACACACACACGCGCATGCTCATCCTTTTTTCCGCAGTGTAATTGGCCGGAGCAGGACTGAGGTGTAATACCATGTGGTGCCAACAGATGCCAGCAGAACACCAAATGAACACAAAAAAAACCCCAGGAAAGACAGAAAAATGGCTTTTAAAGGAAAGGAACCATTTTATTGTAATTCAAACAGATGTTGACAAAGGAGAATTAAGATTTCGTTGTTCACACTAAATAAGTTCTGATCCTGAGGCAGATGTTGATGGGAAAATAGATAAAAAAACAAACATTTGTCTGAATCAAATTCCGCAGTAATCAACAAAAGGTTTCTGTTTTTGCTCGAGGCTTCACTGCTAGTTGATCCACCCCACATCTCATCTTTCTGTTCTCATCCTTCAGTCCTTCTCATCCTGTTCAGACTCATTCTCTCCCCATTTCCTCCCCCGTTCCTTTATCTCTTTGAAGCTCCCTCCCCTCACACATGCACTCTTCCACTCATGATTAAGGGGAGGAGAAACCATGAGGATGCATCTGTGTTTCCAAGAGATGGGGTCATGGCGTCTTTTTTTTTTAAAATGTAGATCACATTTCATATAAAACACCCCCCCCCACCCTCTGAGTCCCCTCCTTCTCTCCCCACCACCTACTTGCACCATTCTGCCACTCAGCTGCTCTCTGGGCTCTGATTGGTTGTCGGCGAGCAGCAGGTTGCAGAGCTCAGCTGTAATTGGCTGGGCCCAGGAGATGGCTGGCGGAGGAGCAGAGAGAGGAGGAAAAGGAGGAGGGAGATGCTCTGCAAGGATAGGAACGGTCACCTCTCTCCATCTGTGAGCCGCAAACACCGGATGAACACAGAAACAGGGGAATTTAAGACAGAGTGGATTAATTTTGGATAACTGTGGACCATTGAGGATTTTTGGTTGGTTTTTCTATCCTGGAATATCAAGATTTTGCAAAAGTCTTCAGTCAGTGGCTTTGGATTTTTTCTCTAGTGGAGATGGACTGAGGATCTGCTGTTGCTGCATTTGCTCGGTACATCACCGTAGTGTCTCTGTGTGGATGTGTGCTAAGATGAAAATTGGCTGGGGATGACACCCAGATGGACAAGCTCTGCAATATTTTAATGGCGAGCTCGCACTCTGTGTGTGTGCTGTTCTGGAATATTGAGCTGAAGTGTGTTTAGGTGTTAGGATTCATGTCCAACAGGATCTGTGCTGAAAATGCTGAACACACACATGCACGAGCATTAGCTTAATGAGGCTGCTACATATGGCCCTGCCTGTGGGATGGATGGAAAGGTTTTCACACACACACTGATGCAGAGCCAAGGTTGCCATGGCAATCAGAAGGGTCTCTTCTAATAGTTGCAGATGACAAATGATGACTGCGGGCACATCAACACTTTAACCTTTCTTAGCACTGCTTATAATCTCTGAGGACGCGTCCAATAATGAATGAAGATAAAGACTCACTAAAGAACCCCTGGCATCTGTTTGGATCAGAAATCAGCGAAGGCTTTTATATGTGCTGGTTTCTGAAAAATGTCCAAATGGGGGGCAAAAAATGGGATTTTATAATATTTAAATAATTTGAATTATCCTGAAAATTACATAACAGTACATGTAACATCCCCTTAGAGAGAGAGAGATGGTAAGAAGACAAAGATACATTTGATGGTTTTGTGTTTCATAAAATGTTTATTAGCTTCTCATTTAGAGAAACTTACAAGAGCAGCACTTAGACATGAAACTAATCAGGGGGCTTCTGTACATACAGTCCTCTGTCATGCAGGACACACACTGCTACATGCGGCAAGAAGGCCCCCTGAAGGAGCATTTAAAGATATCGACTAAAACAGTGTGCGCCCTCCCCTTATCTAGGAGATGCACAAACCCAGAAAAGTGCTTTGGTGGTGATAACAGTGAATGCTTCTGCCCTGCAGCGTCGCCGCGTCAGGAGTGGGTTTCATCTTGGTAATCGACCGACGGCAGGACCGATGGGCCACCGTCAAAGCCACCCTGCTTCGCATTGCAGTAAGATCCTGTTTTAACTGTGTCTAAGTTTGGGAGTGATGGACAGGCTGTGGAGAAACCGCTGGGCCGGTTTGTTTGTGTCCAACTTCTGCTGATGACATGCCACCTCCAACCACAAATGGCTTGTTTTGGAGTGTGTGCATTAGCCTGCATGTGTCAGTGCTTGTTTTAACAGGGCTCTGTGGTTGCAGTTGCTGGTGTCAGCTGTCTGCGGCTATAATTTGGTGTGTCACTACTAAGAATAATGAATGTTTTGGTATCCTTCTGTGAGACTTGGTGTGATTGCTGTGTCTTTCTCATGAGGCGCATGTTGAAGGGATATGTTCCAGGAGATCAGCAATACCTGTTTTACAGTGGATGTTGAAATGAGGTGGGAAGTTAAAAATAGTATTAGTCTGTCGTGGGTGGTGGAGTCTTACAGCATGAGTGGACTGTTTGTGTGGGTGAAATGGGATACACTGCTGTTGGGACAGAAAAAAAAAACATTTTGCATCCTCACATTTGTAACCAGTTGTCTAATTCTGTAACGGCTTTTATCCATGAGCCTTGGACCACATTTTTATGAGCATACTTTTGGCCCCATTTAAAGCCTGAACCATCGTCTTTGACAGTTTTGGAGGAGGATGCAAGTCTTTAAGCAGGAGAGGCAGACACTTTTGTTTTAGGTTTTTGGTTATTTCAACAGAATTTTAAAACAAACAGGAAAAAAATCCTGCTTAAATCTTGACCTGATTAAAATGGTTGAAAGCAAACATCTCCAAAGGTCAAGTGATTGATGCATGCTTGCCAGCACCAATGAGTCGGGTTTGTGAACCTCTTCTTTCAACAGAACTCAGTTTTTTAAAGGTAATTGCCTTCATATTGGAGATGCTCTTCATATTCTTATCTTGCCTCGATTACTGGAAATATTCCTCCAAAATGTTTATTTATGTATATGTTATAGCTGTTGTGGAGCCCCCCAGATAATGAATTTACCTGTCAGGATTTGTGACAGAATATAAGTTTGGGTCAATAAGAGCACAGAACATCTCACATTATTCCATCAAATCAGACTGGAGCGAGGGGCAGCATTTCTTATCTTTTAGTGGTTGAGCTGAGTTATTTATAATTTCTCTTAAAATGATGAACTGTTGGTTTATACCCAGTCATGTTTGCACTTAATTTATTTAGTCCTGAAATAAGATTATTTGTTTATATAACTGCATGACAATTTCTGTGAAAAAGGACTGTATATGACCTTTGCTTTGTCAGTCAGTTCCTAAAGCACACAAACAAACACAAGTTTTTTTTATTTGCTTTGAATTAAAAATAATTTTAAAATATTTTCACAAAATGTTCTCTCCAGGAGATTCCTCCACTTTCTTGTTTTTTATTATGTGATTAACCTTTTCTTTGCTTTTCCAAATTACTTGATTATTTTGATTGAAAACATTTTATAAATAATTTTTAACCATCTTGGGTCCCATTTTCAATCATATTAGCCAGCCCTGCCAGCAGGAGGATGAGGCTTCACCACACCCTTTACATCTGTTGTCTGGATGTTCATCTTGTAAAACACCTTTTAACATGTCTAATTTGTGCAAATATATGCAAATGTGTGCTAATTGGACAACGATTATCATTTGGCCTAATGGTTTTTCTGCTGTATTTCTAAAAAACTATCCCACAGTGCCAGGGAGCCATTATGAGACTCTTTGCTGAAGTACTGTACTCAGACAAAACATCTGCACACCTGAGCGATTACAGCATTGTTGCTGTCCCAGTTCATCTGTGAAAGGGAAACTTTTGGGTTCAATGGAGCGATGGAAAGATGCAGGAACATTTGTGTTTTTGCTCTTGAAACATTGATCCAGAACATGTTCAGTTCGCTGACTGACTGATGTAAAAATTAATTATTAAAACAGATGAAGAGATGAGTACTAAACTCTCAAAACTGTGAGAAAAAAAGTGAACAGCTAGTGAGCTTTTAGTAGCACGACAGCAGAAACTGTTATTCTTCCTGTTAGTTTTGCTCCTTTGTCCAAAAGCGATTAAACCTGCTCAGTGTGTGTGACATGTATCTCTTTATTGTATTTATAAAATTCTAAATCTATATTGAATCATAAGTATAAGGTTTGCAGGTTACAACTATGTATTGAAATCAATGTTTTCCTGGTAGGTTTTCTTTTTTCCTTTTTCTTCCTGTTCAGTACTCAGTCTTTATTCTCCCTGAATTAAACCAGCTTCAGATAATGTTGATAAAGCTGCAATGATTTATGTCTCAACCTGAAAAAACATAATTCAGAGTGGTAGTTGAGTTTATCAGCAGGGAAGCAGAACCTTCTCTGCACGATCTCCTGCTTTTATCTCCCACTCTCATTACCTTTTTTCCCCTCCTTTTTCCATCCATCCATCACTCACTCTCCTCTGTTCTGCTTTTGTGTTTCCACTCTCTCTGTTCATCCCCCCTGGAGTCATCCTATTCGCTTTTATAAGGGAGTGTACATTTCTATTTTTGGTTGTTTTTGTTTAAATACTTCTCTGAGAAGTCATCCCTTTAAAAACAGCTCTCGGCTGATGTGACAAGCAAATAAAAGACACAATGTAAAAGCAAGCTGGTGATATTTTATCTCATGCAAACCAGCAGAATCAGCTGCTCTAAGCACGCAGTGCTACTGTTTTTATCCTTTTTCATGTTTTGCGTAGGGAGAGTGGAATATTAAGTCCACAATATTCTAACCTAACCTGAAGGCATGAAGAGCAGGTGGGGAGAGGGGGTGTCTCGCATCCTGTGCTCCTCAGTCCCTCGCACCGTGGTGGATGGCGCTTTTGGGCATGCCTGCTTTGTCCACCAGCCAATGACACTCAGCCTTACTGAAGGGTGAAGGTTGTTCATCCTCCCGTGAGAAACACTCTTCATCAAGGCCACTCAAGGGCGTGAGCTGCCATTGGCTTCCCTGGCAGAAAGGACCAAGTGTGGGCAGCATTGTCTTATAAAACACAGATTTCATTTTGCAGCTCAGAAAAGAAAGACTTTAAAAGATTTCTTATACTTTTTAATTCAATTAAGTAACCATAGATTCTCTCTTAAATCAAACAAAGTGAGCCTTTTCTGCGTTGTCATATTTCTTCTTCATGTGCCACTCAGTCAGTGACCAAAGAATTAAAGAATCACATCTCTGACCTAGAGAGCACAGATTCCCCGGGGTTATCACCCTATTCTGCTGTCTTGCTCTCAATCTGGTCTTTTGGTTTCATTGTCTTTCTGCTTTAACAAAAGGCTCCATATTACTTCATTTAGATTCAACCTTCAAATACAAAATATTTCTATGTCCGAATATCCTGTTGTAAAAGAGATTAAAATGAGCCACATTAGCATGCGTTTGAGCCCCTCTCAGCTCCTAAAACACACCGTCTCTCAGCTGTAAAGCAGAATAGCTGCGGGGCAAAGAGGCGGATGGCTTTGTCCGTCGCCACAAACAAGAGGCCTGAAAATGTTGCAAAAAATAGTATTGACTAAAATAGCTGGTGTGATGATGAATCAAGGATTTAAACTGCATTGGGTTCTCCGTGCTGAAACGCTGAAGGACAGGGGGGGGTTGAGCACAGGAGGGGAGGGGTTTTTTAATATGGTGCCTGTCCGGCTCCCATGAGAACAATGTGGATGTCATTAAAGGACATGCCAGGAGAGGTTTTCCCTGTCCACCCATCCTTCCTCCCCGCTTCCTCGCCAGCAGAATATAAATCAGTATGGTCAGCGTTGTAATCCTAATCATTTATTAATGCGTGTTTTTTATCTGTGAGAGCTGTATGCAAGCAGGTGTCCGGGGAAGCGTGTGCCCATTAGCATATATGTGGGCCGGTGTGTCAGGGGGACGCACTGAGCAGCATGTGTATTGTCATGTTAATGCGGGGTTACAAATGAAACCAAGACCTCAGGGTTTATTGAATTTAATGACTTCCATGATGAAAATATGAAATGCGTGCATGTTGTGTTCTGCTGGTGGAAGACTACATTCAATGGAAGCAGTGCGTTTAGAAATGAAAACAGTATTTTACTGTTAAACATAATTTACATGAGGAGGCCCGCTGTTTTTATAAATACTTGCCATTTTGCATTGATCATTTGCATTCGTCATGCACCATGTCTGTTCAGTTGTCTGAATTTTACAAGGAAAACAGCTTCAAAGACATTTTTCTGACTCTATGATTTTTCTTTATTTCTTATTCTTATATACAGATAATTGAATTATTGCTTGTGGCACGTCTTTTTGAGTTCCTGTGTATAATTCTTATGAATCGAGTAGGAGTTGTCTGATTTTATACAGAATGGATAGTATTTCCAGACATAAAATCTAATTGAGCTGTAATGGAATAAACAGAGTGCATTAAGAGGCTTTACAAATCTGTGAGAAACTACATTTAAGCAATTAAGTAATTAAATGTTACATTTTTTAGTTTTTATGTTATTTGTTGTATTGTGATATTTGAGCCTGAGGTCCTTCAGCTCTGAAAGTGTTTGTTCATGTCAGCTGACATTGATTTATCATGTCTAACAGGGAGAAATCCACTCAGGGTTTTAGAGGGAGCCATAACCGATATAGTCTTTCAGCTAAGTGGCCTCTGGGGCCGGTGTCTGTCTTTGTAAAGGGTTTTCTTGTTATCATGGAGGTGGAGACATTCAAATGTGGGAACGGTGCCTCCCTCCAGTGGGAGGGGGCGACCTGTCCTGAGTCCTGTTCAGCTTCACATTCAGCAGCTGCACTTTTAGATGTTTTTCAAATTTTTTGCTGTAAACCACACAAACAAACACAGGGGTAAACAAGAAAGATGTGTAAGATTATCACAGGGATATGTAAGATAACTCAAATCAGACAAGAGACAACATTTTTATTATAAGGTACAAAAAGGCAAACAATAGCAGATACAGACTGATAACCAGGATGATGATTAAAAAAAAAGGAAAGCAGTATAATAACAGTGTTGTATGTTTATTTATATTTTTATCATGGGGTCATTCGTAGATGGACATCCGGCTTTGGTTAGGCTTGATAGGAATAAAACGGTAGTAAAACAAGACTTTTTTACTGTCTTTTATTACTTGAATTAATTTATTAGTGCTGTAGGCACTTGGATTTGTTTGATAGCTTTCTGCTGGGAGAAAAATGTCTTTCTCATAATTGATAATAATGTAGATCCCTGGCAGATGAACACTATGCTGCCTTTCTCTTCCAGGGTTCGTTTCAGGGGAACTTGCACTTGGTTCTGGTGTTGCGTCCCACTACTTTGTTCCAGCGGACTCTCTCGGACTTCCTGTTCAAGTTCAACAAGGATGAGTTCAAAATGAAGGTGCCCACATTGTTACTAGTTTGCATGTGTTTGGGATAAACTTTATCATAAAAAGATTTGACATCATGAGCTCATTGTGTTGGTGTGCTTGTCAGGTGGTGATGCTGAGTTCGGTGACTGAGCTCCATGCATATATTGACCCAGGACAGCTGACCACAGAGCTCGGAGGTACACAGGAGTACAGCCATGACAGCTGGATCTCACACCGCACTGTATGTATGCCCACTCAGTTCCATTCTCATTAGCTTTATTGCACTGTTTTTAAATATGTAAATGCCTGGGTATGCTCCACAGGCCATTGAGGCGTTTGCCCTCATGGTGAAGACCACGGCTCAGACCCTGCAGTCCTTTGGAACTGAACTAGCCGAGACAGAGTTGCCCAATGATGCCAAGGCCACAACCAACCTGCTGCACACACACACTTTGAAGAAAGATAAGATGAAGGTAAAAGAGGCTAAACTGAACACAGAAAGACGGAGCAAAAGTAGCTGCCGAGCACTTCTGAAAATGATTCATTTCATTAACAGGAGGACCTGCAGGTGGCATTATCCCAAGGAGGCCGCCTTTTAGAATGTATCAATGAGCCTCTGCAGACAGATCCTGAATACACCATGACTCATGATGAGATGGAGAACTTGGCTACAGTGCAGAGGTAGAGAAAAGGACTGATGCAGTAACATAGATGCTGACTTAAACTTTCCATGGACACATGCGTGAGTCTCTCCTCTCCATGTGTCTTCCCTTTCCTCCTCCCCTTCAGACTCCTGGGTCAGCTGGACGAAACGGAGACGGCTTTTGATGATTTCTGGGAGCGCCACGTCACCAAGCTGGAGCAGTGTTTGCAGCTCCGCCACTTTGAACAGCACTTCCGTGAAGTGTGTTGAGTTTACTCACGAAAAATGAGTTACATTATCTCCACTCCCAAATACCAACTACAAGGTGTGGCCTGTGCTGTGCTGTCCAGGTGCGAGCCCAGCTGGACGTGTTGTCCCAGCGGCTGTCAGGGTTCTCTGAAGTGAGCGTCAGCCCCGCACATGCTGAGCATGTCCTCCGAGAGCTCGGCAGCCACGAGGACATGGCCTGTGTAAGCATTGAAAACCATTGTCCTGACCACAGGGCCCAGAAAATGCACCCTCCAACCTTTTGATTTGTCCTGGTACAGCTGGTGATGCAGTCAGTGCCCTGTCGCCCCTCCACTCACAGTGATGTCAATCAAAATGGGTGTAAAAAAATCAGACACTGAAAAAAAACTGTCTTAATCTTAATTTGCTGTTAGGTATTTGCCAAGAGTTCATTGCATATTCTTAACTTTTTTTTATTGGAGAAGCAAACTGCCTATTTTAATAAATCATTAGCTTGATAACTTTGTCAAGATATTTCAAGTAAAAATCCAAACACTGAATTTAAGGCTAGCAGTGTCTGTTTATCATTTAGCATTACAGTGACATTACGACAAAATAATATGTGTATAATCTGTGTGTCATTATGCTCAGGTCTCTCTATTGTGCTTCAACAGGACTTGCTGGACCTCGCCCTGTCCCTTGCTGCTGAAGGGGACAGGCTGATAGAAAATGCTCACTATGCGGAGGACTCAATCAGGCCTAAGTGCAGCGAGCTGAGAGGAGTGTGTGAGGAGATCAGCTCGACCCTGATGAGCAAGAAGAGCCTTCTGCTCAGGGCTTTGGAGCTTCACCATGCTCTGGAAAAGGTAAGAATGTGAATCCAGTCCAGGAGAAGAGTTCCTCCACAGCAGAACAAATAGTTGCTCATGGGTATTTTCCCAACAGGCTTCTCTATGGTGTGAGGATGGTATCTTCCTATTGGCTAGCCAGCCTGTGGACCGCTGTCAGTCTCAGGATGGAGCTGAGGCAGCTCTGCAAGAACTGGAGCGCTACTTGGAAACAGCGGTGTCGCACACCCTCACAGACCGCAGCGCCATCTGCTGCCAGTACGAGGCAGTGCTCAACGCTCAGCTCAGGGTCAGCACCAAGCCACTTCAGCAAATCTCATGCTTTTTCCCAATGCCACTAGTTAAAATGGTCTTCTTTACTAGCATGTGTTCTTCCTCCATCAGGACCTCATAGAGCGAGTTTTCCAGAAGCAAAGCTCTGTTCAGGAGATGTTTGAAAAGAGACGCGTCAGCCTGAAGAAGCTTGCTGCCAAGCAGACTAGACCAGTCCAGCCAGTAGCTCCGAGACCCGAGGTCAAGTCTCCACTCTCATCTCCTAGTAAGTCACAAAAACATGGCATTTGATATGAAAGTAGAAAAAGCAGGGTAAAACAAATGCAGAAATGTGAGAAGAATGCTACTTAATTTTTTGGTTAGAGGCAGCAAAAGAACAAACAAAAGCAGATTAAGAGTGATTATTTTCTTTTCCAGGTCAAGAGAGAAAAGAGAGGAGATATTCAGCAGATAGTGCCCTCTGCAAAAAGGTAAATGCCTGGTTATTGATGATTAAAACCTTTTAAAACATTTCCAATGACCTTGAAATAAATGTAAAAAGATATAATGATCTTGATGTCTAGAGAGTCTGAAAAAAGCTCAAAAATCTCAGAAATACAGCTGTTATTAGCAAAGATGCCCGGGCATGCTATGTTTGTTTCCAGGTGGAGTCTCCCATGCATAATGGTGGCACAAGGCATGCTTCTCTTTCAGAGGAAGAAGAAAACCTGGCAGTACTTCGGCGGTAAATGAAGAATTAAAAACAGGGCGAAATTGTTTTTTTTTTCAAAACTCCAATCTTAATTTGTTTTGTTTCCAGTCATGTGATGAACGAGCTCCTGGAGACAGAGAGAGCATATGTGGAAGAGCTTCTGTGTGTGCTCGATGTGAGTGCTCTTGGCCGCTTTCTGACCAGTTTAATGAGGCTGACCATCAGCTGAGTGCAGGATCTGTTCCAAGTTTTTGCTCATGAGTTGATGTGCTGTGTGCAGGGCTACGCCGCGGAGATGGACAATCCTGCCATGGCTCACCTCATCCCCAGCACTCTGCTCAGCAAGAAGGACGTCCTGTTTGGAAACATGTCTGAAATCTACCAGTTCCACAAGAGGTATACCTCAGTCTGACTTTGGTTTGTGTTATATAAATATGTATTGTTATGTGATATTAGCTGTGTGAATATTTATTGTTTGTTTCTAGGACATTTCTAAAGGAATTGGAAGCATACACTGACTGCCCAGAACTTGTTGGCCGCTGCTTTTTAGAACGGGTGAGTACCTCTGCCGGCATTGCTTTTTGGTCTGGGCTTATAACCAAGGAGGATTTGTTTCGACCAACCAGATAGCTGATGGCATTTGATGCTTTTTCTGCAGATGAAGGACCTCCAGATCTACGAGGCTTACTGTCAGAATAAACCTCGCTCTGAGAGTTTGTGGAGACAGTGCTCAGACTGTGCCTTCTTCCAGGTTAGCCTCTCGTCTCTGACAGCACTCTCTTCTTCAAATGGTTTAAAATAGTTGTGGAATTTATTATGGATGCATATATGTAAAATGTTTCCTTTAATAAAAAAAACTTTAAAAAACAGGAATGCCAGAAGAAGCTGGAACACAAACTCGGGTTGGATTCCTACCTCCTTAAACCTGTCCAGAGAATCACCAAGTACCAGCTACTGCTTAAAGTGAGGACTGCTGCACATCTTTATATGTACCGAATTTCAGCTTGTCTTTCAGCTTTCAACTTGTCTTTGCTTTTCCAGTGTGGAGGGGATGCATAATGTGGAGGAAGTGGACGTGGAATACTGAGTCTATTATCCACTGTGATGTTTGCAGGAACTGTTGAAGTACAGTAAGGGCCGTGACGGCTGTGATGACCTACAGGAAGCTCTCTCCTCCATCCTGGGGATCCTGAAAGCTGTTAATGACTCCATGCACCTCATTGCCATCACCGGATATGAGGTAAGTGAAACTTAAAGGTGGAAACACGGACGCTCTCTTCCTGGACGTTTAAAGGCAGATATTCACGTATTTTGATGAATTTCTTGATGCCTGAGTGAACATGATGGCTGCTGCCACATTTGCAGACCAGATCTAATCCAATGAATTCTTCTTTGCAGGGTAACCTGTCAGAGCTGGGTCGTCTGTTAATGCAGGGCTCCTTCAGCGTGTGGACTGAGCACAAAAAAGGCCACGCCAAGGTGAAGGATCTGGCCAGGTTCAAGCCCATGCAGAGGCACTTGTTCCTGCATGAGAAGGCCCTGCTGTTCTGCAAGAGGAGAGAGGAGAACGGCGAGGGCTATGAGAAGGCTCCGTCTTACAGCTTCAAACACTCCCTGAGTGTAAGCTCCCAGTGTCGCGTTTAAAGAGATCGCACGTGAGCGCAGGGTCACTTTTGGAGTTTAATGTCCCTGCCTCTCTTTGTTAAGATGAGTGCGGTGGGCATCACAGAGAACGCCAAAGGAGACAACAAGAAGTTTGAGATTTGGTGCAATTCCAGAGAAGAAGTTTTTATTGCCCAGGTAACATCACGTGATTTTATTTTTTTGATAGATCCGTTGATATAACTGAGGTATCAGCAAAGCAAAACAGTGCTCTTTTTATTTATATCAAGGCACCAACACCAGAGATTAAAACAGCATGGGTGAATGAGATCCGTAAAGTCCTGACTCAGCAGCTTAAAGCCTGCAGAGGTAGGCTGATTTGCTGGGACATTTCCATCTTTTGCACTGCACTGCTTGACTGTAAACTTGTGCGTGTTTCAGATGCAAGTCAGCAAAAGAGCTCAGACTCAGTTTCTCCAAGTACCACCAGCAACAACATCTCCATCTCCCTCAGGTTGGTGCTACTGAATTTACAAAGTCATGTTCATCCAAAAAGACAAATGCACTGATCCTCTTTCGGTTCTTCCAGCCCCTTCCGAAGCAGCGGTCAGAAGAACCAGAAGAAGCAGGAGGAGAAGAAGGCAGAGGCGAGCCAGACCTCTGACACCAACTCGTGCTCTTCACCGAAACACAAAGGTGAATTTTTCTAATTAACTCCTGCACTTTAAAGATTTATCTCAACCTATGCTGAAAGCTGCTCTGTCAACTCTCCCTAATGTGGACTCTTTTCCTCATTACCTTCATTTCCACGCTTCCCACGGTTTCCTCTCACGGTTTCCCTACCCCACATTATCAAACCATTGCCCCCCCGCCAGATGAAGCTGTGACCAGCCCGACCACTGACAGGTCCTCAGTGGCTAAAAAGCGTTTTACTTTGCAGGGCTTCAGCAATCTCAAGAGCCCGAAAGGTAACATTAGCAAACTCGAACAAGCTTAGTGTGTAAAATCATGAGAAAAAGTTGTGTCTATTAGCTTTTACTAAGTACCTGATTACAAGGGTAACTGACCCCTTAAATCCAGTCCTCACTAAACCATTGACATGAACTGTCCAACATTAAAGTTAACACTCGTGTCTGCAGTGTATAAAATTCCCGCTTCTCTACGTCTGCTCCCCACGTTCAACTCTCTTCTTCTTCTTCCTGTGTTTTTTCTCCTGCCTGCATTGCCCAGGCTCAGCTCTGAGCCCTGAGCACGGCTCCAAACGCCACACGGTCAAGAGTGACCCCACACCGTTTGGGTTCAAAGGTATACTTCTGTCCCATTCTAGGCTCCATTTGATTTCAAAGGCCATTGTTCACCTTCCTGTCACTCACCATTAGAGCGTGCACCAGTCTTGTTGCCAGCTTTACATGCATCTCATCTAGAATGGTGAAAGTTATTAACCCACCCACAGAAACTTTGTAGAAATGTGTACCCATACCTGTAATCTGTGTGGCTGGCTAAATTTTCAGTTTATTGAAAATGATTAGTGTCAGTCTATTTTCATCATGGACCGTTTTCAACTTCTCAACACATGTGGAGGGATGAATTGTCTTTCGGGTTCATACAGATGACAGCGTGTTAATCTTCATCCACAGGTCATTGCTGACATCTTCATCTTTGATTTTCATGTTTGGCATCTTGTCACTTCTGGAGACCTTTTTTTTTTAAATAGGGGACTGTTTAGCCATCATCTGTGTGTGAACTAACAAAATCTGTGTGAGCGCTTCACCAACACTTTCTCCTGGTCAGCTTGAGGAAACTGAATCAATTGTGTCCACATTTCAGCACGGTCAGCATTCTCAGAGGAAGCATATAAAATAAAATCAACTAGAGAGCTTGACCTGACTGACTGACCAGTTTAGCACTTCTCCACACGACCTGCTGGCTGCCACTGATTTGCTGACCATCTTTCCCCTTCAGAGCCAGCTCCACACACCACTCTGAGCAGAGTCAAATGGATGAGTACCTCTAGTCTGTTGCAGAGCAAGCGGCAAGGTACAGACCTGCTCTGAGAACCAGATCAGGTTCACAGTGGGTGTTTGCTGCTTTTTGTGGTGGAAATGATTGATTTAATCATCGCTGAGGGGATGCAGATTACCAACCTTTCCGAGTCATTCTGCCTTGTATTGAGTCTTGAGAAACCAATTAGAGATATATTTAGTGAGAGTGGAAATGATCTAAAAGGGAATTCTGCATTTTGCTAACGTCTGAAGGCTCAATCCTTGGTGAAATGACAGTGTCACAGTGGTTGCTTCACTGTAAATCAATTTCTCTAGTTTCTTCTTCCTTCACTGGATATTTTGGGTTGTTCTGTGGCCTGGTGACAATGAACACAGAACAATGTAGATCAGCCATAGAGTGAACCCACGTAAATCTGATCTTCCATCAAAATAAACTTTTATATTCCCTTATTTCCTTGCTGTGCTCTGGTAGCATCTGATTACTGTCAACCTTCATCCTCTGGGAGTTTGGGCTGACCTTCATGTTTTTTAGTCAAGTTTTAACCAAAGATGTATGTTAGTCTGTGACATTCAGTTTCTTCCTCACAGCCATAAACATGTTACTTTTTTCTATACTTTAACCACCATAACAAAGATCTCTCTATAGAGCTTATTTAAATAGCTCATCTAATGAGTGGCTCTGGAAGCATTCTGATGTCACAGGCTGTGGTTGTCTGATAAAGAATTGCCACACTTACCCCTCCCTCTTCTCTTTAATTCTCTTTTTACCCTCCATAATTGACTCTGTCATCCACCCAATACAGGCTGGAACAAGGCATCTCTCTCGGTGGATGCCTCAGAGGAGAATGATGGCTACTCCAGCGGCGAGGACCCCATAAACTCAGACACTGAGGATGATGTGGTAAAGAAGCTGGTGAGCAAACACAATAAGGTTTCCTCTCAGTGCCCTTATTAATTTGAGAGCGCGTGGTTAATCATTTACAGACTGGTTGTGAAATTTGACCCTTCAGGCTCCGGGAAAGTACACAGTGGTGTCAGACTGCGAGAAGACGGGACCTCAGGAGCTGTCTGTCAAGAGTGGGGACATGGTCCAGCTGATCAGGGAAGGAGAGGAGGGACAATGGTAAAAACACAGTTTCTCTGAGCCAGAAAGAATATTAGAAATTACTGTGATTGTTGTGTCCATTTGACCTGACTTAGACTCAGAAAAGCTGGAAAGGTTGTTCAAATGCAACAGAAACTCATTCATTTTAATCTTTCTCACACACAAGAACAAGATCAGTGATTGTCATTTTCATTCCAGAACAGCTTGATTGTATTCGGAAAATATACAGAAATCTAGAAATGAATGCAATTACAATGGAGAATCAGTTTAAAACTGAAAAACTAAAAAAAGTATTTTGTAAAATGTGATGGAAAGAAATACAGCAGGAGACATGCTTTCTGGTGAGATAATGTTTTCGGGAAAAGCTGGTGTCTCTTTGTTTTTAGAACAGAGACACGCTACCATCAAGACACTATTCTGGGAGGTCCTTTATTTATTTTTCCTCAGCTTTTTTTTTTTTAACCATATTCTTTACTAAAACCAGCAGCATGGCTTCATATTCACAGAAAGGATATGAAGAGGTGCATGCCAACACGAGGCAAAGTTGACCATGGTTGTGACGGAACTGAGTTTCCTTTTTCCATCACGTTGGTGTAACGCGGCACATTTTTCTGCAGGTTTGTGAAGAACCTTCGCAGCAGTAAAGAGGGCTGGGTGGCAGCAGCCAACCTCCTCAGCCTCATCTCAGAGTCCAAGTCGTCCCAGTCCCTCAGCAGCTCAGGTGGGTTACATGTGGCTTACCCTCCATTGTGTCACTTGATGTTGCAACATTTGCCGTCCAGTCAATGGAATAACAGAGTCATTGTTGCTGTTTGTGTGTCTGCCCTCCAGATGGCAGCGTCTCTGGGAACCTCAGCACTTCCTCCAGCTGCAGTGAGACATACACCAGCTTTTCTGACATCAAACCCTGATCATCGTCCAACCTCCACTGCTTTATCTAAAACTATTTCCCGGTGGAGACCGAGTTAAAACTGACTCTGAGAGCAGCACACAATCAAGTGTGTTTTTATTTATGCTTTTTGACTGACAATGACATCCACTATGAAATATCTCTTCAGCTGAATCTAAATTCAACAACGTCATGCCTTCAGGGATCAGTCATTCCTAATCATATATGTTGCAGTCATGTTTGTACCATCTTCTGTCAATCCTGCTCTAAAAATGCAAAATAATGTTCTTAGTTTACTGGACGGGTGTTCAGTGCCATAATGTGATTATGTAGCATCGAAGTGGGCAGTTATGAAGAACATCTGCACTGAATGAAGCACTGCTGGGGCTGCAGGTTGAGGACATTGCAGCATAGCAACAGATTCTTGTTTGGGGCACTCACCGATACTATCAGACAAATATTTCACGCGATATATCGGCCTTAGTGTCAGACACTGATTGTACACTGTGAAAACTAGCAGGTGGCTGCAACAAGAAAAATGCCCTTGGTAAATCTAGCGGCAAAGCTGAGCAGGTTGAGGGTTGTAACCTTTTGTAAGTCGGACACAACTGGGGCAGAGGGTGTGACGATAGTGACACAATGCGCTTGTAATCCTCTCAGATATCCTAAAAGAAGAAACACACTCGGATGTATCACCAACAGTGCTACCTGGTGGTCACACAGGCCTTGCACTTTTCCACCAACTTTGACCGGCAGTTTGGCCAACTTTTTAACCTCTTTGTTTTTGAAAGAGGGATTCAGTGACTTGCCTCTGCACTGCTTCGCATTTACCTCTCAGGAAACCCAAGAGCTTACAGGAGCAGGCAGGTGTGACTGCATAACTACAGGTGTTGGCTAAATGTATGTGCGTGCACATTCTTGTCTGCGTGTGTGTGTGTGTGTGTGTGTGTGTGTGTGTGTGTTTCAGAACAAATTCATTACACCAGAAATACAGAGACCCAAGACTTTTTCCAAACTTTATAAAGCTGCTTTCCAGCTTTGTGAACTGTTAGAAAATAGCCACCCAAATCTCAACACTCTATATGTTTGTTTTTGTGTCACTGTGCTCACCTATATTTGGTGTGCACAAAAGCAAGCTTTGTTCTCTCCCTCTGCTCCCAGCCCCATTCAGGCATGTGACAGTGGCCACTTTTCTACGTGCAGGGCCAGCCGAGGCACAGACCTGCTCGACATGTTTGCAACTCCAGCTAGAAAGCCTCATTTGCTAGCCTGACAACTAAATGTAGCTGATCACAATCGAGTTTAAAAAAAAGAAAAAGAAAAGAAGAGACAGTCATACTTTTTGTGGGATTTATACAACATGGGTAGTGAGTATTATAGGCTAACACACCTCTGTGGAACTTGTGCTGTTCCAAACACTGAATGACATCTTCTCTCTTCCGTTTTCTAAGAGTAAACATGCTTTTTATAGCTCAACATTTCTACTTTATCTGCGGGGCACTGTTAAACACTCTTCCTATTTTTTAATCAGTCAGGAAAGTGCAGGACACTTTTGCACTAAAACCAACCCCACCTGCTTATTACTTGTCCCTATTAGCAACCACCACAATGCCACTTTTGTTTAGTGAAATGGGGCTTTGCTCATTTTGGTGTCCTCCCTGTAAAGATAAAGAAAAAGGAAGAAGCTAGTTTGCAGGCCTCTCAGTGTCAAACCTGTGAGTTTCTGGCCTTCTGTGTTCATAAGTGTTACGCATATCTTCTCCATACCTCACACTGTTTTTCTCAAGAGCATGTAAACTGTTTGGAGGATCATGGTTATTGTGAGTGTTCTTGTCTCATCTTCACCCTTTGTGGCATGTTATTCACAGTTCCACTGTTAAGACAACAAGGCAAATGTTTTCTACCTGTTGTAATATTGTGAGAGTTTATTTTCTGCCCTCGTAATATGGCTGACATGGGCACTAAACTTGTCAGTGTTTGATCATGGTCACACAATAAAGTTTACTGAGTTATTTGTACTTTTTGACTGAGGCAGGAGCAATGAGAAAGGGTTATATTTTTTTGTTTCTGTTTATGCAGCACATTGCAGCAACCACTGTCTTTATTTTCTTACTGTATATCTACTGAGTATGGTGGTGAAATCAAATGTCATTATGAGGCATATCTGTATATTTGTAAATATGTAATTCTGACTTGTATGTAAAAATGAAAAGCAGCTTTAATAAAGTCTGAGATGGTTTCTCTACATGATCTTCGCCTTTATTGTGGGGAATTTGTTTCATTTAATTTGTAACTTTAATTTGATTACGTCAAATAAAAATAAAAATATTTCTTAATGAACGATCTGTTTATTTTGATTCGGATACATAAATTTAACCACGTGGTTCCTCGCTTCCAATGGGCCATTACAGATTAAACTGTCATGAGTTGGCCTGGGGTGTGTTCCAATAAGTTTCTATGACCTTAACGTTTTCCGTGTTTTCAGTTTTACACTGGTTAGTGAAAAACATGAAAATTGACGGTACAGTTGTACTAAATCATATGAATATGAAGCGAAATTGTACTCGGGTTTATCTGTTTTAACACAATTTATTAATGCAGTGGGAGAGGTTGTAAAGAAGAGTTATCGCGAGCGGAAGTGAACGAGAGTCAGCTGCGGCTGGAAAGATACAGAGTTGTCAAGTTAGCATAAATCAGCATGAGCCAAACCGGAAAATGTTTCATTGCATGGCAAACATAAAATATCTTGATGACATCATATCTACATATGAGTGGGGAAATAGTTGAATTAACTAATCATTTAAATGCCTTTCCCGTTTTGACTGTTATTTCGGCTGAATCTTCAACAGTGCCTCTTAGTTTCAGCACTTTGGCACGAATTCCATCAGACTGTTTATATGAAAAGTACCACCGGAAGTTCCGTCGTCGATTCATGCTAACTTGGAGGAACGCTGGAGAGCGACCAGATGGAATTCTGCACTGCCTTCTTCACGACTGCTCACATTTTGAATTGTATCGCACACAGTTTTAGCTGACTTTCCTGCTAACAAACAGCCCTGGCGTGAACACAGACGCCTTCCTGGGAGCCTCGGCTGCGCTGTAAACCGGGACAGAAGCGGTGAAGACATTTAAACAAACCAAACATCTTCTCGCTGTAAGTATCTTTCGTAGCTAATACTGTCGAATAGCTTCCAGTTAACCTTACGCTCTGATATTACTGCCCTTGACAGTCTGTGTAACTTCGTTGGGGGTGGATGCGTTGAAATGTCAGCTATGCCAAAAAACGAGCCCCTCTCCCGTGAGTTGTTTCTGCAATGATGCAGAGAATCGTGGTTAGCTTTGAAAATCTGTCAAACAAAAAGGGGAGTTTGGCCGGAGGCGAGAGGGGTGTAGCCTTGTTAAATCACATTGTCTGGGACACTTAATGCGGCCTTTTGCGCTGTTTGCCTCAGTTTGCGCTATTAGCTCACATTCTTCCGAACTCTGTGGTTTGTTGGGTTTTTAATTCCTCAGCAGCACATTCACAGAGAGCGTATTTTGTTTTTGTTTTTTTTCCTCCTCTCTTATGTTACTTTAGACGACCAGCGTCAGGCAGCTCCGACAGACGGCTGTTCCGCTTCCGGTGGAGGATTTCAAAACAATACTCTAAACAGTTTTACGCAATTCCCGAAGAAAAATGTTGACAATAATCTGATTACATCCTCTGAACCCTAGAGTCACATTTGCAGATAATGAAACTTTAAATAATCAGCCAGTTAAAGCTCTACATTTTCCTTTTTGAGTCAAATCCCAGAATTAATTTTGTGACCAATGCTTCTAACTTTTTTAAAGAACTGGTCAGATGAGGTCAGATTAAGCTTTGTCATTACAAATATTATATCTACAAGGTAAAGAAACGCAGTTTTACACCGAATCAGAAGTGCGAAGAGCAGTACGTTTATACAATATGACCAGTATAGATGGGTGGGAAATTAAATTGGAATTTATTTACATGAGGGTAGTTCTCACATGTGTGTTTAAGTATCCATATACAATGTGGGATAATGATAATACTTAAGTGGTGATATCAGCTGTTTAATGAAAAATGTTTTGTTAGTTATACATTAGTTTTACAGCTGTCGCTTCACAGCAAGAGGTTTTCTGGTTCAAATCCCTTGGGGCGTGAGGCCTTTATGTGTGGAGTTAGTATGTTCCTCCCTCTAATCACAAAAATACATGCACATTAGGTTAAACAGGGACTGTAAAATGTGAATGCGTGTTTGTGGTAGCTGGTGTCTGTGTGGCCTGTGATGGACAGGCGGCCTGCCCAGGGTGTACCTCGCCTCTCGCCGCAATGACAGCTGGAAAAGTCCTCCCCCACAAGGTGTAAGCAGTATAAACAATGGATGGATAGTTCTGCGGTTCAGAATACTGTTTTATTTTTTCATATCCATCCAGGGACTTGAGCCCGTCTCATCTACCACTGGCCAAAGGGCAGCAGCAGTCCACCAGGGATAACACAGAGCAAAAGAAACAGTTGGTTTTGGTATTGTAATGTAAATTCTATCCTGAGCATCAATAGATGATGTTTTACATAAAATGATCATCCTACATAATTTATAATATGATTTTTACGGTGAATCCCTTTTTATTGATTTGTTCGATCCCAATGTTTTTATGATTAAAATAAAGACACTGCTGATCATTTTATCCTGTACAATGCTTAAATACATAGAAAAATCAGGCTAGGACACAGCAGGCTTATATGTTCTGCTGCAGCCTGCTGACTCACTTAAACAAGTGACTGTCTGTGTTACCAGATAAAGCTCTTGTACTTTATTTTGCCCTTCCAGCTCTCTGCTGACATAATCTATGCACCATAAAACCTTTCAGGAGTAATTACCTGAAAGAGTTTCTAAATACCTGTCAGCTCTGGGAGGGGCAGATATTCCCTTTACCATATAAATAGCTACGTTAGGATTAAATTTGTGGTAGAACGAAAGCAGCTGAAAGTTCACAGCTATACATTGATTTACATGGAGGTGAGGCTATGCTTCAGTGTTGTGCATCAAACTCGCAAACACAGGGTGTTAGTGTCCTCTGTCACTTATATTTATGATCTAGATTAAATTAGTGGTGAAATTGACTTTTTCTCCATATCTTACTGTTGTGTGTCTTAGCTGGAGTATTGTGGAACATGTTTTTCTTTATTTAAAAAGGCAGTCAAATCTATAGACAGTTTAGGAGCTTAAAACAGCACCAAGTGCTAAAACTACACTCAGTTTGCGGCACACATCTTATGTTACCATCTTTTTGTGGTTGTGTGCAGAAGAAACAAAAACCTTGGTGTTTGGCTACAGGAGTGACGTCTGCAGTGTCATGGTTTACTACGTAGCCATATCTGCAGCTCCTGCCCGGGATGGCAGTCTCAGGATATCATTGATTAGTCATCAGAGCCACCCACTGCGCTGCAGTTTGTGACTGGGGTCTGGTGCTGTGTGATGAGGGCAGAGCTCACACAGACGTGGCCGATAGCACTGTTAGTCATGGGTCTGAAACCAAAATGAAGTCATTCAAATGATACACCTGCGCTTAATGATCTTAATGGAAAATTGAGAGTTAAATCTGCAGAGAAATGCTAATCTTGAGGTCTGCATGGATTACAGTCAGAGAGAGGAAATTTCAGACAGGCTATCTGCAGCAGCCAGGTTAGAAAATGTTTTAAAGAGAGATGGATGCATGCTTTGTAGGTTGGCCTGAGCTCCATGAAGTATGCCATCAGTTATGCTAGTGAAGGAGAAAGCTGCAGGCGCTTGTGTGTAGTGTTTTTTGCTTATTGGCTAGCAGCCGAGGTCAGAATTCAGGAGACATCAGCGTACCATTTAGATATGTCCTCAATTTTTTGCTACACCTACTCTGGGGTGGAGGGAATTTTCTGAGCCTCTGACGGCCAGATTTACACTATACTGAAATGTCACAAGGCGGGCAGCAGCCAACCTGAAGCTTACTGATCTGTCCTGCTCAGAGGAATCAAAAGATTCAAGATCTGCATGAGACGTCTGACCTCATGTGATTGCATTTGAAGCTGAAAGTTAGTGTTAAAGGAAAATTGTTTTGTTTTTTTGTTTTTTAAGCAAATTTCTTTTTATAAAGACAACAATCACGCTGAGTTATTCTATATCAATATTTCTAACATTCAATTTCTATTTTGGCTTTGATGGTTTTTTAAATGTATTTTCGATAAGAACTTTTTCACAGTCCTTTACCATTTTGAATGACAAATAAAAGAAGCAGTGGTATTTGTTTGTCTTTCGCTTGCTTTTCAGATCATGTCTGAATTATTCACAGCAGATTTTAATGAACCATGTTGAAAACGATCTTCATTACTTTAAAGTAATTGTTTAAACAGGTGAACATGAGTCATTGTTGACCAGCAGGACACCTGACATGACTAAATCTTCATCATTAGCTGTCAGCTTATTGTAGCTTATTCATCCATCTGAAATGCAGCTTAAAGATTCAGATTTGGGGTGACGTTGTAGCCCTGGCTGTGTCACAGCGGCTAGTTGTTTGAGTTCAGGCCCAGCAGGCTCTGGATTAATTCTATTACATAACATTTAGTCTGTGTAAGGCGACAACTGGAAATGAAGGTTTCACAGTAACAAGCTGCTCCAGCTCTCCAGGGCTCAAAGACTTATTAGGTCGGGTAATGGTTCTTTTCGACATAATTCTTTAATAATTATTAACATTTAGAAGGAGTGGCAGCAGCCAGAGTGGAAACCTTAACTCCAGTGGCCACATGTGAGCTGTGCAAAGGCAGGCAGAGCAAGGCTTTCCTTAGGAAACCATCTCTCTGTCGTGTGCCTTTAGTTTGGTGTCTAAATGAGTGATCGATGAGTGTTAATTGGCTTATAAAAAAAAAAAACTACAAAAACAGGGTTGAGGAGAGAAAGTAATCCACGAAGAAGAAAATCTGTTTGTGAGCCTTTTCTGTTTGAGATCAAGGCTCCTCTGACTCAGCTCACCCCCTGGTAAAGAGTGGACAAAACATTTTGTGCACTTTGCTGTTTGTTGATGGTGCACTTGAACTTTTGCTCATGTCGGGGGGCATCTTGCTTGGGATTTAAAGTGTTAAACAAACACGTGGCTCTACCAGTGGATCGTTTTGAGCTATAATTCAGCCCTCTTTGCCCAAACTAAACGCTGAGGCAGTGTTAAAAGGAAGCAGTACGCTCAGCTGACATTTAGTCTTTGTCAGGTGAAAACCTTGTGATTCAAATTTAGGGCTGCTGTGTCCGCTTTTACGGTTGTTGAACCCCGATGTATTTTTTCTGCCTCCTTTAGCGCCTTTGCTAACTGAGAACATTGAACTTTGAAGCTGATCCTATGTTGATGTGATGAATGAGGCGCCCATCTGTGTGGTTGTGGTTTTGCTTTAGCTCACAGAAAGCTGTTCAGCTCATGTGCACCTTACAAACCAGAGTTTGGGTGAAAGGTGTGTGTGTGTGTGTGTGGGCAGGGTGTGATGGCCTTTTACATTCCCAGATGAGGATTAGCAGTCACAAGTTCTCCGGCTGTTCCTGACCTGCATTGTGAAGGCAACCACTTCCTCCTGAATCCTTTTTACCCGCTCACCGACTTACAGAAACATTCTTTTTAACTTTGTATTATCGTCATTACCTCTCTTGGGTCTTCCTGGTTTTCTTTCAGGTTGGATTTAAATTGCATATGGGGCAGATTGTCCAGCAGCCAATGAGAACATTAAATGTCCTTTTTTTGTTTGTTTCTTCTGAAGAAAGTCACTGAGATGAGGTCCTTACTCAGAAAAAAAATAGATAAATAGTGTTTATAGAAAGACGCGTTTACCTCAAAATAACACAGAAAATGGACCTCATAACAAGTTCAATGTGCTTGTTCCACTTTGATTATCTCAGACTGTTGGCTGAAGGCTGAGCTCACATACACACGAGATGATACTGGAATGTGTCTCAGAGGTGTAATCCTGAAACAGCATGACACACACATTCCTGTTTCTCTCTCAGCTGCCTTTTGTTCAGTTGTCGTGCCACATTGATGGAGAAAGAGGAATGTAGAAGGCAGTGAGAACTCCCCAGTGAAATAGCTCTTTTTGGCTAAATCTAATTAAAAACCAGTGCAAATAGCCAGAAAAGGTTGTCTTATGCTGCGTAATGTCCAGTCCCATGTTAAATGGTCTCATTTATGCTAATGTCAGAAATCCAAACTTGTGTGGCTTTCCACTGACTGCACCTCTGTGTGTTTGACAGGTCCCTAGCCGTTTGTGTGTGTGTTCATCATGCCGCTGTTTGGGAAATCGCACAAGAGTCCCACAGACATCGTCAGGACCCTGAAGGAAAACCTGGCCATCCTGGTTAAACACGATAAGAAAACAGATAAGGTAGGAAAGCGCAGTGTCTCCCTGTGTGTATCTGGGAAGGCCTTGGTGTCCGGGGGCCCGAGGGTGACAGGCTTCTGCGAAATTAGAGCATGGAACAGCTTGGCCGTGTCATCCTCTGACACTTGACTGTCAAGACATTTTCTCTTTGGCACACACGTGCACATGTTAAAACGGCCCCATGCTCCTCCATGTTGTCCCCCCTAAAAGCCTGTTGACTTACTTGTCTCCTTGAATCTTTGCAACTCTTCTTTTATCTCCAGGCGTCTGAAGAGGTGTCAAAGTGTTTGGTGTCCATGAAGGAGATTTTGTACGGGAGCAACGATAAGGAGCCCCACACGGAGACCGTGGCCCAGCTGGCGCAGGAGCTGTACAACAGCGGCCTGCTCATAGCGCTGGTGGAAAACCTGCAGGTCATCGACTTTGAGGTGAGGAGGAATGCATCAGATAAAAGGCTGCAGTGCAGTTTTCTGCAGAAGTCGACATATCGGTTTTCTTGGTTTTATCTGTGTCCGTCCAGGGGAAGAAGGATGTGTGTCAGATTTTTAACAACATCCTGAGGAGGCAGATTGGGACGAGGAGCCCTACTGTGGAATACTTCTGCTCCCACCAGGAGGTCCTCTTCATACTGCTGAAAGGGTAAGAAGGGCTCATGCTGGGCCGTCCCGCTCACTGCACAGCAACAGGGTGATGCAATCCGGTCGCTCTGTGTTTAGATACGAGACACCCCAGGTCGCACTCAACTGTGGGATCATGCTGAGGGAGTGCATCCGCCACGAGCCACTCGCCAAGATAGTTCTCCATTCTGATCATTTCCACAACTTCTTCAACTATGTGGAGATGTCCACTTTTGACATCGCCTCTGACGCCTTCGCTACATTTAAGGTAACCTCGGTGTTTTTGATCTCAGCTGTTTGTGTCACACTGGAAACACCAGCTCTACAGCAAAAAAAAGTTTAAAATCCTTTTCTTTTCATTAAGCTCTTCTCATTTTAAGTATGTGTCTGAATGCAATATGTCAGCATAATTGTGGTTCATTGTAAACCAGTCACATCCACAAAAACCCAGAAGATAATTAAAACTGAAATATTATCTGCTTAATATCTTCCTCATTTTGAGCAACACCTGCTTTCCTGTTGTCTTCCCGACCTGACAGGCATGTCATTTGTTTTTGCCCACAGGATCTTCTGACAAGACACAAAGTGCTTGTGGCTGAATACCTTGAACAGAACTACGATGCTGTGAGTGATCTGACGAGCTGATAGTTTTGTTCCACCACAGAGAGTTTGCAAATCAATTCACGGAAAAGCTGCCACACGTGTTGATGATAGTTTGTCTTTGATTTCTGAGAAAAGTGGGTTTAATATCACGGCGTGTGCAGATTCAGCAGAAAATGTGTTCATGCTCGCTGCTTAGCCGAGCAGCGGCTCCTTCACTCTCAGGGCCTCCAGGGTAAGTGCCCCTCACAGAAAGCCCTTATTTTAGCAGCTACCTCCCAGTAACGTCTAAATGTTACTGGGAGACTTTTCAGGAGGAGCTGCCATGGGCTCAGGCTCGCCTTTGACGTTGCAGCCGCATATTACAATTGAACTTCATAATGGAAATGGAGGATCTATAAGCCCTTAGTCGGGATAAAATAGTTCAATGATTTAATCCCACAGCTCAGGGACAAGGTTGCCAAGAGACAATAAACAAATAGAAAACAGACAGATATCTTAATATTGGTCACTAATCCCATGATCAGGATCTAAAGGTCCCCTGGTGTGAGAGTGTCAGGACTTGTTTGGACACAGGCAACGTGTTTTTTAAGGAGTGTCTGGTTTCTGTTTTTGGAGTCTGGAAAGTGGAGAAACAGGTCACAGGACAGCTTCTGATTCCTGCACTAGCTTCTTATAGTTTTAGCTTCTTTCTAGGCAGCAAATGGGTTTTGGAACGGCTATTTTCCTTTCAGGCCAGCGGTCAAGTATTCGAAACACCGGGCAGTTGATTAGTTGAGCTACCAGCAAAGAGTCTCAAAGCTGATTTCAGTCTGTTCGTAATTTCTAAAGGGACATTTCTACTTCATTGCAGGTGTTTGCAGATTATGAAAAGCTGCTGCACTCGGAGAACTACGTCACCAAGCGGCAGTCTCTGAAGGTCTGTCTCCTGCTGGTTTAAGCTTACACAGTCACCTGAAACACAAGATCTTTGTCATGTTTCAGCAAATACTTTCTCCTCCAGCTTCTGGGCGAGCTGCTATTGGACAGGCATAACTTCACAGTGATGACGCGTTACATCAGCAAGCCGGAGAATCTCAAGTTAATGATGAATCTGCTCAGAGACAAGAGTCCCAACATCCAGTTTGAGGCCTTCCACGTCTTTAAGGTAAAAACACAAAATCTATGCGGGGTCTCCAGTAAAGGGATCTACAGATTCAGAATGGTTTAGACACTTTTAGTCTTTCTGAATTTGGTGCCTATCTCTTAAAAGACTGTGGGCACTGATGGTTGTGACCAATAACACTCTACTGAATTACCCTCGCTCCTGTGTTCAGGTGTTTGTTGCGAATCCCAACAAGACGCAGCCCATCATCGATATCCTGCTCAAGAACCAGACCAAACTAATTGACTTCTTGAGCAACTTTCAGAAGGAACGCACAGACGACGAGCAGTTTAACGATGAGAAGACCTACCTAATCAAACAGATCAGGGATCTGAAGAAGCCAGCCTCCTAGAGAAGCATCCTTCTCTTTGCCCCAACTTTTTATCAATAGGAAGACGTAGAAAAAAAAATCATATTAACAATAATGGTTGTTCTATTTAAGAAAAAAAAATCATATTTTTTTCCCTCTTCGTTGGTTCATTAAATCTTGTGCAAGAGTAGCTCTTAATCACTGATCTTTCTTTAGTTTTTCTTCATTTGTAGCATGTAGTGCCACAATGTTAAGGTTGGAGGCAGCTGATTTGCTTTGTTTGGAGAACCAGCGGTTTAAAAGCTTTGGTCCAGTGGCTGATGGGTTTTGCAGGCCCTGTTTTCAGCCACTGCTTATGAGTTTACCTTTAACTTTAAAATGAAGTAACTGCCGATTAGGAAAATCATGAAGGAACTTGTTTTTTTCTTTTCTTTTTTTTTCACACGTGTTCTCAGCTCGAAATCTGTTCTTTGTCACAGGCAAAAACTTCTGAAAAAGTCAAGCAGTCGCAGAATGGTAGCCAAACCTCTCGTTTTACATTGTCGCTACAAAGCCAATAATCGAGCATGTCAATGCAGTCCAAAATGCCATTGTGGGTCCATGGCGCCTCTCCGCTTTACCTCCAATCTGAGCAGGTGATCGGTGAGGCAAGACGCCAGAGGGCAGTCGCAGAAACAAGCTGAGCATCAAACCTGTGGCGTTTTAAGAAATCAGTAAGCATTGGGGAGAAATCGTTTAGGAACTGTTGACCAAAATTTGCCAACAAAACTATTCATTGTGAGCGCATTTGAAAAATCTTCAAATGAAAGGCCTTTTTAATGAATTTGTGACACTGGGCCGCAACCGGTACATAAAGCTCCGACTATGCTGATCACTGGTTCTCTGCTGGTGGCTGATAGCACTTTCTGTATGATAAAATGATACGATCGAACATTTTAAGCTGATCAGTTTTCACACTGCTTGATTTTTTTGTTGTTTGTTTTTATATATATGAATATATAAATGTATAGAGTTTAATTTCTTGCCATGTACAGTTTATGGTTTGTACGCCTGAAGTGAGTGCCATTCTGGGAGAACATTGACGGGGGCACCTTGCTGTTGGAGGGGAGCAGCGGTAAAGATGGCCGTTTTGTGTTTTTGTTTCACTCCTTTTCTTTCTGTACTGTAACATGCGTTTTGATCCGATTTGATTCTGATGTCGGTGTTAGGAAGGAAATAGTTGGAGATTCAGAGGTGCCTTTTCGTTTCGGTGTGTTCTTCCCTTCTTTTCACTTTTGTTTGTATTCACGTATCTTTCTATGGGGAGCTTAATTATTATGTTGATGAAAATATGCTCTGGATAAGAACATATTTGTTTTGATTAAGCGGTGAACCTCTTGACTCACTATATTTGAGTTACGCTGTCATTTGAAATGTTTTGAAACTTTTTGCCACAGTTTAACACAAAGTAGTGCCGATTTGACTTGTGAAGTGTTAAATGTCAACTACAGACTCACTTAAACTGGCAGAAGGATGCCAAAATCAAAGAACTTGTTGGTGAAATGGGACTGTGAAAATCCGCATGTAGTTAAATCAGCAGAAAATGGGCTTAAACAGTGCAGATAAAGCACAGTGTAGGCAGGGCTTCTTTTATTTGAAACTGACTAAGAACTTAAAATATGAGCATGTCTACCTTTTTTCTGAAGAGAAAGACAAAGAATTTCTGGCAGATTTATTTTATAATCATTGTCAGATTTTCCCTCACAAAGCTTTCAGCATTCAGAAGTAGATTGATTCCTTTAGATTAAATTTTGATTAAAAGTATCTTAAATTGGAGTTTAATCTGTTAGTGAAAATTGTTTAAATAAACAAAAATGAGACAGAAATCCAAAGGAAAAAAAAGATCAGGTATCCTCTGACGAAACACTGCTTTACTTTTCATCTGGCATAACGGCAGAATAGAAAAAAAACACTTGTGTTTTGGTTAACAGATAAATACACCACCAGCTAGTTTGGACACTTTAAGCTGTGACAGTGTTATAACATGAGATGCAGACGTAAATCAACCAGCTTTACATCTATATAGCACATTCAGACAAATTAAAATGAGCAGTTTTGGTCAAGAAAATCTTCCCAGAGTCCTTTGTGAAAGCAGACACATTTGTTTTGGACGTTGATGCTATTGTACCACACTCACTACAAATAAAAGGATGGGAATGCATGTGTGTGTGCACTCATTTCTCATGATTACGGGCTGCTTTTGTTCTTGTTTTTCTCCATTATGTAAATTTCTTTCTGGATAAGAAGGTTCAAGGCTATTTTAACAGCTTGTTGCAACAGAAAAAATAAGTAGATTTAACAGATGACTGGAGGGAAGACAAAAGCTGGGAGGGACTTCTTTATCATAATGGACATAGAACCCTGCCCTAAAGCTGCTACTTCCACATTTCTGTTTATCTAATGGAGAGAAAAAGTTTCAGGCTGCATTTACAAAACAACGCAACAGATTCTTCATCAAAACTGAGGGTAAGTATTTCCTTTCTTACCAAGAAGTAAATGTTTATACCTGGAGTGCAATTTTCTTCTGTCCAGTTAACATTAAAACAACACAGTAATGTATTAACATCTTTACAGCAACAGCCTGTGAAATACATAAATTAAAAATTCTGCAACATCTTTCAAGTCAGACAACTGTTTTTTCAACTGTTCCTTATTTAAATAGAAAAATAAAACAAATCGACATACCACAATTTCCAGCACTACTTGGCATATATTATTGTTGCACCTTGGCTCATTCCTTTTCCTATTGAGCATGCTTTATTTGTTAACCTCGTTGTCATTCGTCTTTCCTTCAAGGTGTCCCATTTCCAGAGCTGTCCTGTCTCTAGCCCATGTGCACTTTAGATGAGGTTGTAAAGGATGATTAGGGAAATAATCTGAGAGGAGCAGCTGGGCTGCAAACGGGTTTCTGGGGCCTGGTTTTTCATCCATCAACAGCTGACAGAAGGTGAGTTGGTGCACAGCTTCTTGTTTCTGAAAGTGTCCGGCTCGGTCTCCAGGCTGTGCTTCCCCACACAGCCATCTGCAACAGACATGGGAGGTCACATTCATTTTTTCAAGAAAATACACACTCCACTTCATATTTAATGTTTAAAAGCCTGCCTCTGTGTCAAACTGGGATATCCCACATAAACAGAACCCAAATCATGTTCAGATTTGAATATTTTTGGACGTTTTAAACGGAACATGGAGCACAGCAAATGTCAACTTACTGGTAACGTGAGGAGAAGGCTCTGAGGGAACTGGAGGGCTCGTTTGCCACTGTTAAAAGATAAATGTCAGACTTTTTGTGATGGAGCAACACTGTGAAGTCTAATCGATATAAGATAGTATTTAGATCATTTTAATGTGTCATCAGAACAGAGCAAAGCAAGATTACAAGGTCAAGAAACAAGGCATATAATGATATTTAAAGTGTACTCACTATGTACTTGCTGACATCCTTCAGGCTGCTGAATTTCAAATAGGAGATGTCCCCCTTGTCTTTGTCCCTGTCCTGGTCTGAGGTGTAGATGTGTGTGATCCCAGCTCCTCTGATCAGGGGGATGCACTCATCACACGGACATTTAGTTACAAACAACATGGTGGCCTCCTCTGGTTTGATGTCCCGCGTCCTGAATACACCACAAGGAAAATGTATATACAGCCCTGGAGTGTTTAGCTTGGCCGTGTAAATGAGTTCTGACCTGAAGGTGAGGGCGTTCTGCTCCGCGTGGACAATGAATCTATATTTGCGTCTCTGGCGGTCCTCCTGCTTGTTGTCCATTTGGGGATACTGGGCATACTTTGAGCCTGCAGGGTAAGCGTTGTACCCACAGCCCACCAGAGACAGACACCCGGTTCCCCTGCTGCCGGTCTGGGACAAGAGAGCAGTTCAAAAGTATGGAGGCAATGAGTCTTGCATAACTTACTGAATAAATGTTGCAGTATAAATGTCAGAATCGTCATATCGAGGAAAAGAAAGGAAAAAAGGTGAGCTTACCAACTTTCCTTTTGCCCAGATAACAGCACCCACTCCCACCTTTGGGTCCTCTGGAAGGAAAATCAAAAACTTGCAATCAACAGCAGCTCAAAATGATCCAAACCTTTTCAAAATGCTCATGCAAAGCTTTTCCATATCGACTTAGATTTTTCATAGAGGAAATATCAGGCAGTCGATGAGTCATACATTTGCGCTTTGCTTTTTTGTCAGCTTATGTGGGTTTTTCTAGAAGTGTGATCCCGTTCTTTCCCCCTCTGTGATATTCGTCACAGAATGATCTCCAGCTCTACTCTTTGTAATAATGTATCGACAGACCTGTTCTGTACGCCAGCAGCCTGGCCTGGATGATGCAGTGGCGAGCCTCCTCCTGGGACGCTCCCTCCTGGTGGGGGGGCAGTGAAGGTGCCCGCTGTTCTCTGGACCACAGAGACAACACAATCAAAAGCACAGCTCACTGTGAAGGCGGGGCCTCACATGGAGGTAGGGACTAAATGAAAGACCTGTAGAAGCCATAGCTTGTCTGAGGAACGCCAGCAGCCACGGCAGCCAGAACCTCCACCAGCTCCCTCATGTTGTGTCTCAGGTTGGAGAAGTAGGGCTCCACACAGAAGTTCTCCAGGTCCATTTGGATCAAAATGTCCTTGTGCTGCTGACATGTACCTACCAGGAACCGTCTGGAAAAATCTCTAAGGTGTCTTATTCGTTCTCTAGAAAGCAAAACAACACAAAACTCTTCATCTTAAATGCAGTGAAATTTATTTTTTTAAACCGGTTTTACTAAATTGCTTTGTGTATTTCAACTAAATCTCTCTAAAAGAGAGTGTGGCACTGCATAATGATTCAAATAAAAAGTACAGCAGACACAGAAGGTTTCCTTTTTAGTTGAACTTAGTGCTCATAAACACATGCATTATAAACTGTTGTAGTTAGGGTCTGAAAGTCATTTTTAAAAGTTTCTTTCAGAAGTCAGCCATGTCAGATTTTGGGGTGCAACAGAGTACCTGTTGAAGAGTTCCTCTCTGGTTAATCGGTGGTCGTAATGAGGCAGTTTCTCCATGAAATCACAATCTCTGGAGGACTCGTACACAAACTGCCCCAGACCAGGCACCAGCGGCTGCAGCTGCACACAGATGTGAGGCCGGCTGTTGGACTTCAGCTTCTCTGTGGCCACAGTGTCCAGTGCAGCTTCCTCTGGGATGGAGTGGGGGGGGCTGTGGCAGTTTGAATGGTTTGTCAGCGTGGACCTCAGCATGCTGACCTCGGGGTCGCCGGGCCAAAAAGAGATCTGACTGACCCCAGCTGAATGAGAGCAGAGCATGTTGTTCAGTTTTAGTCCCATGTCGGACACCCAGTTTCCCCCAAAGTTCAGCATACTGCTGATGCATTTCAGTGCCAGATCAAGTCAGCATTACATTACAGCATAAATGGTAACGCACCCTCTTTAATGAACTATTGAAACTATAGAGAAAGTTAAAGTGGATTTACTTTGACAAGAGTCGGAACATCACATTTCTTTCTAAAAACAAAACTGAAGAAGCACACAGTAATCTGGAATTGTAAAATGAGTCACAAATGAGATTTATGAAGTCATGAAGTCCATATCAGTGCCTGTAATTACATTGGTGAAAGCTGTAAAATCTCCCACTGAGCTGATTGGTTTGGTTGATACTAGTGTCACAAAGTAACATGCTCATCCTGTTTAGAGGGAATAACTAACTTCTTTAGGGTTGAAAAAAGTCTGCTGTCACTTCATCTTTCCTCACCGTTTATTAGCATTTTAAGGCATGTCGCACAGGGTCTCCTGGAGAAGTAGAGCTGACAGTCCTCCAGCTGGGCACCATGTTGGATGACGGCTGCCTGCCCGGCGTGGAGCTCCGCTCCTGAACAGTGGAGTCCCAAAACCTTGCCTTCCCGCACAACCACCAGCCCCGCCATCCTGATCTAAAAGGTGGGAGATTCAGAGCCATTACCTCCCAATGGCGTTCACTGTGGTGGATTCTTCATTTCTGACAGCCCAAGTGACCTTTATACTGACCTGGCTATTGTCATCCTCCTCAGAGTCCTCCTGAGGGAACATCTCCATCCACAGGCTCAGCAGAGTGAACAGATTGACCTGTGATAACCTGGGGCCATGGCCTGGAAAAGATGCAACAGAGACAAGAGGCAGCGTCAGTGCCCCCCCCACCCCCCTCCTGCTGGCTGAAGGGAGGCAGCACAGTGTGAAGGTGAGCAGGGATTGGATCTCACCCACAACAGCAAGCATAAGCTGCTTCCATCTATTACAACTAAAGAAGAACGTGTCTGAACACTGCAGTAGAAGCAGAGCATTTTCAGTTTATCAGAACACTTAGAGTAAGCAGAGGTCATAAAAATGACAATGATTACACTTTATTCATGCAAGCGTATTAACAATCATATAAATCAACACTGCAAGGCTGAAACATGATTAGAAATGTCCTGCGTAGAGCCACCCCCCCCCCACCTGTCTCTTCCATCAGCTGTTTGGTGGCTCCCCAGCACGGAGATAAAAACAGAGGGCTGATTTGATCTGGCTCACCTTGTATTTTGCTGTCAGTCTGGGTGCTGCTGTCTCTCAACTCCCGGCACGGCCTGCGATGGCTCGGTTCGGCCCGGTCCCAAATCTCTCTGTCCACCATTCCGCCCACTTGCCAGAAATGGAAATATAGCGTCCCAGCGTCCAAATATAAGAACTGAAGATACACGTAGCCCCAGGATAATAAATATTTTTTCCGGTTTCGCGTAAAGGTGGACAGAAGAAGACATTTCCGGTCAATCTTCTAGAAAAAATAAGGTTCAACGAGAGAATTTCTCACTTAATCGACATTAAATCAAATTAAATAAATTGTTCGACTCTTCAAATGAGCCGCGTCTTTGCCCCAGTGGTAACTAAATGTAAAAATGTACTAATGTCTTGTGTTTATTGAATCATCGAAGATGTCAGAAGGTAACAACAACATAAGTTGCCACTGTTAACAGTACCGCTCCAGCCACGCAATGACGTTTTATTTAGAAAAGGTTGCGGTACTTCCGCCACAGACCCGGCTGACTGCTGCCAACTTAACAGTTTTAGACAGTTTCCGGAAACACATCCGTTGTGACGTCACGAATGGGCGGGGCCAGTTGGCTGACAGTTGCTTGGCTGTTCGTAATGATTAAAAGTGCCTCTTTATTCATGAATGATCAGCAACTTCGGCAAAAGACTCGAGATCAAATGTAGAAAGAAGTTATTGAAGATAAAACGTTGTACCCATTGTAAAGAAAGTATAGTTTTATTTATTTAATGGGAATAATCTCCCAATAAGCAATAACAAAAGGAAGAAAACGACATTTCAGGTATATAACAGCTGAGGAGCAGTACTACTACTGTATTATATGTTAACCATGTTCTAACCACAAACTATACCTAAGTAAACAAAAGCATAACAAAAATATATTTTCTTAATACAGTGCAGAACACAATTGTTTCCATAATTTACATGTCTTTATTTCAAATAAAAAAACTGCAAACTCCCTGACCTGAATGACACAGCTCTAATAATAAACAGATGTCCAACTTTCCAGCGTTAGAGTGCATCGAGAAAAGGAAACCTAACTCGAGAAAAGGAAACTGACCTCACCACACAATCTGCAGATCACTTGGCCAATAAAATATAACACACCCAGTGCCATTGAGCAGAAAGTTAAAGTAAAACCTGCAGGGATTTTACTAAAAGCAACCCCAACTTAAAGAATTGACCTTCCCATGTTGCTACAGACGTGCTTCGAATTTTATCGAATTGATAAACAAATAAGAACACAAAAAAGTTAAAGCTAAAGAAAGTAAAAGGTTCTGGAAAAAAAGACCTCAATAGTTTGACAGATTTTGTGCATTTTACAACTTACACACTTAAAATTGAAAGAAAAGCTACCTAATGTAATGCAACTCCTTTTCGGTAACATTTCTTGTGCCCTTTCAGTAAGGTCTTATAGATTCAACAGCTCAATGAGATGTTTTAAATGCTAGCGCCCAAAGACTTTCAAACAGAAAAATGGAATTACAAAAGAAGCAGCAGCAGGTGCGTTTCAGTACAGTGGTACTCGGCCGGTGTACATCAGCTAAACTGTGAAACATTTGTCAGTTTTATTTAATCAAAAACACAGACTGAGCTGGACAAGTGCCCTTTCAGCTTTTTGGTCTGTTCCACTTAGAATAAAGCGAAGGAGGAATGTCATAACTTATAGAAAAATACAACTTATTGACAAATAAAGCAAATGAATTCATCTGACAAAAAGGGTCATGACTTTGCAGAGGAACTCCACAAACATCGACCAAAGTGCAGACTCTCAAACCTCAGACAGCGCAGCTTAACCTGCAGTTCAGGAACCCGTGCAGCACGCCGCGGGCCATTTCAGAAGAGGGATCCTCGGTGGGAATGTGATCATTTGTGCAACAATGGGGCATTTTGCTGCTGAAGTTGTAGCAAAACCTTTTACCACTAAAGTCAGAATATACTGTAGTTTCTAAACTGCCAGAAAGTAAGAGCACTCAGTTCTTGAAGGCTCCGTAGCGGCTGGCTCTGCCAATAAACTCTTTGAGCATTGCTCCGTCGATTTGCCAAAAGGCTGCGGTCTGAGTCACCTGAGTCAGATGGTTCACACAGAACCTGAAACAGAACTTCTCGAGGTCCTGCACAAGCAAAAAAAGAAAACAAAAATTTAGCAGTGGCAGGAAACACGTTTGGCTAAAAAGAGGGTTTGCATCAGACTGTTCCACAAATGCAGGCTTTGTTGGATTGCAACTAAGGAGAGTAAGAGTAACAACTAGACTATATCGTCAGCTGCTCAATGTGGGTGTTATTCTTAGAAAATGTAATTGCATTTCTCAGGCAGTTCACTGTGGTGACACAAGATGTCACCAAAATGTTACCAGAGGAGTAAAGCAGCACGTTGGAGAGCTACCACTAAGCCTTTCTAGAAAAACAAACCCTCGATCCGTCTGTACTTGATCAGCAGTTAAAGCAGGAAATATTGACCCTGTGGACGTCAGTTTTGCAACAGTACCTCGGCATCATATCGTATGGCAGCACACAGCAGCGTGAAGGCATTTTCCACTGTGATTCCTCTCTTAATGATCTGCTGGCACAAGCGTTTCAGGCGGTTTTCACAGTAGGAGGTGGCCAAATCCAGCAAGCCTGCGGCCAGCACATAGAAACATAAAAATGGACACAGGCCATTTATTCTCATTAAAATCAGACCACGGAATAAAAAAAAGAACAATACCGATGGCATCCTCAGGTGGCAGGTCGATAGTGTCGGTGTACAGAAACTGCAGGAAGGCTCTGTAGACCGGGTATGAGAACTGGCCAATCTCTATCACCTCCTGCTGGTCCTCCGCCCACTGGGAGCGAAACATTGAGCGGAAATGCTCGCACCTGCTCGTGAACAAAAATCCATAACTCAATCTTTATGCAATGCTGGGTATTGACGTCAAAAAAGAAAATGGTCAATCTTAATTTCGGACCACTTTACCAGGGAAAGTTCTGTTGCCTCTGCTTGTGAGGTAACAGAAGTCATTTTAAAGTACAACAGGAACAGTTTCTCGTGTTGGTGTACAACCACGCACACACCTGATCTTCAGCACAGCTTTGTGGACATGAATGTATTTTCCTTCAACGTTGAACTTGAGGTCAGATGTTTCTGGGCTGTCAAACTCCTTCCTGAGAGCTTCGGTGACTGTCATGAAATCGTCTTGTTCTAGGAAAAAGCCAAGCAGGACATTCAGTGTAGTCCTCAGTATCACTGTCACAAGTCTGATGAGAGTTGAGCATTTGGTTTCTCCTCGCTCTGCTGGGGGTCGACAGCCTCACTGTCCCTCACCCATTGATATTAGACGCCACATGACGGAGGGAGTGGCGAAGCAGGCGAAGACGTCATCAGTGTTGCTGAAGTTTGTCAGGTGGGGCAGAACAATGGCCTGACCCCGACACTGGCCCCACATGTACACCTAAAAGATAAATATTCCGTCGGGCATGGTCGTCAGAAGAAAAAACAGGTCTAAGGTTTGTATTCTGCCTCCACTGAAGACTACAACCAGGTCAATGATTAGTAGCTTAATGAGTCCTCATCCCATCAACTAACTAGTTAAAGATCTCAGGGCTAACGCAGGAGTTCTATTTCAAATGAAGTTAGTGAAAACGCGTGAAAAGAAAAGAAACAAACAGACATACCTCGCCGCTTTGGGTCTTGGCTGCTGAGGTATGTGTAGAATGGCATGATGCAACCTCTACAACCCTGCTGGATGAGATATGGCAATACAGTTTTTGTACAAACAGGAACTGGAACATTGTGTAAATATTGTTCTGCTCTGGCAGTATCTGGCCAACAGTCATAAAAGAGAAGAGGTTCTAGTGCTCCATGACAACGTCTTATGAACAGTGGCCGGATGCCACAAACAGAGAGAGGAAATGAGCAGGAAAAAGAGGGTTAGACTCCACAGGAAGAGGGGGAAGCATGTCTGTCACCAGACACAAAAGCCTCCTGTTTCCAGCATACCTGTCTTTGTCAGCCATGATTTTCACAGGACTGAGGTGGTTGCTCTTGTTGCCAGTTCCCAGCTGACCGTAGGTATTGGCTCCCCATGCATACAGCACACCCTCATCTGTTAGCGCCAGGCAGTGTCCGTATCCTGATACGATCTGGAGAGCAGAAAATGATCAGGTTAGTGATGCCTCAGCCTCCAAATCAATCCCATTTATCTAATCCATTTGAGAGAAATGCAGTGGTTTGTGTTTCTTAGAGAGTTAAAAAGGGTGTGAGCTGTTCAAACACACACGATGGTCATGAGCCACGGTGTGGAAATATGCATCACCTGTTGAATGCACAGCCCTTGAAGTGCAGAAAGGCGGCAAGGAGTCAGCTGGTTTCCATTGTTGCCAATACCCAGCTGCCCGTTTCCATTGTAGCCCCAACCGTAAACCTGAAAAGAAACGCTGACTACTGTAACAAGTTCAGCCTTCCAGCTGGGATCAGTGAGAGTAAAAATGTCACCTTTACCTCTCCATTGTCAACCAGAGCCATGGAGGAGGTCTGGCCACTGCTGATGCCCACTGCGGTCTTGCCCTGCAGGCAGCCGGTGACCCTCCGGGGGTAAGGCTGGTTGGCTGTGGAGCCTGAGCCCACCTGTCCACAGTTATTATAACCCCAGGCAAACACCTGAGGCCAGGGCGGTGGTGTAGTGTGAGAAAGGATCCTTTTGTCTGTGCCACAACTCTAGTGCATTCAGCCTCTCTCTGGTCGTGACATAAACACATTACCTTCACCCTTATGGTGGCTCACCGTCATGTTCTCACATAAAATATTTCACATTTTACAGCATTAACTGGTTGATAAGAGAATAGATTAAGTTTAAAATTGAAAAAATGATCCCTTTGTAACAAAAGCAGTAGTAATTTAAAAAACCATTGACACAAACGGGATAAGACTATTGTTTAAAGAGACTTGTCTGATCATTGTCCAAAGTGACTTTTGGACCCGGGCGGGATCTCACCATCTGCCCGTACCAGTGATGATAATGTGCGTACCAACACTAATGCAGAGCACAGCGCCGTCAGAGACCTTTGAAATGGTCACGGCTCTCCCTGCTCCTTCCCAACACTCAGCCTAACAAGCTTTAATTCCTTCGCGTTAGAAATAAGCTGCTTACAGTGACATGAGTAGGACTGGAGATGGCTGATGGAGGTATTTAAGAGGCCAACTTCAAGCGAACATAAAATGCAACCTGACATGTTTAGATTGGATAGTAAAGGTGTTCTAAAGATCTATTTTACAAACTATTTACCCATTAATTAAAAAGAAAGAGGAGCAAAATTCGGCGATCGCCCTGACCTCTCCATCCGCACTGCGAGCCATGGAGTGATGCGAGCCACAGGCCACCTCGACCACTTTCTTATTCTGTAGATTAGATGTGATCAACGTAGGGGACAGTCCCTGGTTTGTCGTGCCGATCCCCAGCTGGCTGTAACCATTGTGCCCCCACGCATACAGCTGTCCATCTGCAGTAAAGCAGATCATTAGATCAATTAGAAAGACAGGTTGAAAGACCAATCTTTTGTTTTTTAAGCATTTAACATTTTTTGGTGGCTCATGTTGATGAATTTAGTCAATCTGACAAGTTGAAAAGTACATCTTCATGGCCAGTGGTTATCATGCCCCTGAGTAATGAATAATGATGGTAAGGGGACACAAAGGGTTCAGGCTTAAGGCAAAGATTCACTCATGCAATGCTTGATAGAGCGAGCAGGAGTAATGACTCGCCATCTGTGGACAGCAGCACATGCGGTCCACTGCCATAGCTGAGACTTAAAACCCTCTTCCCCCGCAGGAAGTCCAGCTTTTTTGGAACGACGGTGCTCGCACTGTCTCCTGTACCAAGACAGCCACTGCAGTTCAGCCCCAACACAAAAACCTGTGAGAGTAAAAGAAAGCAGGAGAATAACATGACAGAGACAATAATGCATTCTATTGTACCCTCAATTTTTTCATTATAAACAAAAGTACAAACGCTTCACACAGAACGTCTCACTGACATTTGTTTGCACAGCTCTCATTGAAGAGTTCAGTTCTGTTTAGTGAACAAACTCACCAAAACATACCGAATGCAAGCATATGAACGTTTAAAGGCATCAACCTAGATGCCGGTATATGGAGCAGGCGGAGCTCACCTCGTTTCCGTGTGTGATGTAAATGGCTTCGTTAGCCGTGGTACCAAAGACGCAGGCCTGTCGGACGGTGGCTTGTTGCTCAGTGCTCAGTAGCGAGAACAGGGGCCACTTACTGACATCCACCATGGCTCCTGGGACAGTCCTCCTTATTTGTTGACGAGGAGGAGGAGGTGGAGTCAGAGGTGGAGGGTCAGAGACGGGCTCGGTTGAAGGGGAAGAGAGGAAGTGAGGAGTAGGAGGTGATGATGGTGGAGGTGAGGAGCAAGAGGCAGGACCATCCCTGCTGACACTTCACATCAAAACCAAGACGAGAAAATAAGTTATTGGTAAAACTACATCATAGGGTCATTATTTTTAACTCATTTTCTTTTCTGAAAGCACTTTCTGTCAGGAAAAAATAGTCAAAGTTTTGTCTTTCTGAAGATCTCTGACCAGAATCACCCCAGGTTACCTTGACTATCAGCAGTTAGCATGCAGTCAAAGCACACAATAATAGATCGCAGAGGTAATCTATTATTATGGAACTATAAAGGCTTCATTTTCTGGCTCAGCTTAACACTAAATTAAAGTAAAAGCAATATATGTATCCTTTACAGCTGCTGACTTCATTACTTCCTTACTCCCTGCAGCAGCTGCAAAAGTAATGCCTATATAGGCATTCTACCAAAGAAAGCTGTGGCAACAGTGCCATTCTTTAAAAAAGAAAGCCAGTGATTCATTTTGCCATCACAAATCTCCTGGATTTAAAAAGCAAGGAAGTCTGGAACTGCTCAGCGTCGCCTCCTCCGCGTCAGAAGCAGCCAAAATACGACACTCGTCATCGAACCGCGCCACCAAATAAACGTAAAAGAAAATCAAACAAATGTAAACTGTAAGCTGTGTAAAACAACGGGTCAAGCTTAAGCCAGGTGGGGGACTATGAGCTTATTTTGGCGCTTTCTTGGGCTTCTCCTACCTAAAGCATCGCTCCATAACAACGACTCAGCTGTGAACAGATGGAGACACAAAGCGCAGCGACAGTTTGACGTGTTAGAAAAATCAGAAGAAACTATCCAATTTCTGCAAAACACAGGACAGCCGGGACTTTTTACCTTGGTGAAAAGCGTTGCCAAGTGTTGTCAACGGAAGCGAAAGACGAGATTGTTTTCTTCTCTTGTCTTAACATCCCGGACACAGTAATCACTGCTTAAACTAAACACTGCCCCCATGCGGTCATCCGGGGAACAACACATACATGTCTGTGGAACTGGAGGCTTTAGTGGGCAGTAGTGGGCAGTTTAATGGACGGCGTTAACTCGGGTCGTATCTGTCTGCTGATGTCTCTGTAAGACTGTGATGGCCACACTTTGGAAGCACTGCATTCCAAACTTTAAGGATCATTTTTACATCCTGTAACCAAGTGATGTTATGGCTTGAAGGTTGTATCTATGTAACCAAGGCAACCTGCAACTATGGCCGTTCAAAATCAACAGAGTAAACCCTTGATTCGAAAGGGCCATTTGAATTTGAATTCAAGCATTCGCCTAAAATAGTTCGAAAAAATAAACTAGGGATGTCCAAAGGCAGACTTCAATGGCTGCTGTCCTGCAGGTTTGAGATGTTTCCCGACCTAAACACGTGATTTAGATTCAATCAATATATTCTAACGATCGTTTAGCACATTTAAAACCTGCAAATATGCTAATCAAGTTAATTGAAGCAGGGGAACCCATAAAACGTGCGGACAACGACAAATCAGAACTGATGTTGAAACCTCTGGACTCATCTTTCAGGAGGGAGGCGCGCCCCCAACCGGTGCACCCCGATGCCCCTGGAGCACCGAGGCTGATGGT